AGCCCAAAGGCGCCCCCCCCCCCAGGGAGAGTTCAGCAGGGGATTTGCGCTCCAGCTGCCCCTCACCGCACCGAAGCTGTGGCTGAGACCGAGAGCGCTGGCAGCCCCCAGGCTGAGACGAGGCTTTGGGTGGGGCTGGGAGCGCCCCCTCCTCGCCCGGCTGAGGCAGCCTCTCGGGGGCTCTGAGCAGCCGATCTCTTGGCCCGGGCAGGTGGACCGCTTCCTGCACTCCTACGCAGAGGCCGCCCAGGACCTCCCAGCGGAGAAGCTGCGGCACCTTCGGGGACTCTTCCGCTCCGCCGTGGAGGAGCACGAGCGCCTCTTGGGCCAGGAGGCCTCCCTGGCGCTGCTGCTGCCGCGGATGGAGGGGCTACGGGGGCGTTTCCAGCAGTACCTGCGGGAGGCCCGGGCCGTGTGTGCCGAGTCCTGGGCCCGCTTCCACCCCGGCTGCATGGTGGCCGGCTGCGCTCTCCTGACCTCCTCCTGCCTGCTGTGCTACGTGGCCTCCCGGCTGGCCCCCCGCCTGGACTTCTCCTACCGCCACGCCTTCCTCTACCCCTTGCTCTGGGGGCTGGCGGGGGCGGCCCTGCTGGGGCTGGCTCACCTCCTCCGGGGGGGCCCAGCCGACCTCCTCCTGCTGTGCGCCTGGGGGGCAGCGGCCTCCCAGCTGGGCTTCTTCTGGCACTGCTGGGCCAGGCGCCCCCCAGCCCTGCAGGCAGCTGGCCTGTGCCCCCCATTTGAGGGGCTCCGCCTGAGGCCCAGGCTGTGGGCGGGGCCGGGGCTCTCCCTGGGCGTCCTGTTCCTGCGCTGCGCTGCCATGCTCTCGGACAGCTTTGTGGTGGCGGAGGGCCGGGTGGTGCCCTTCCTGCTCACCTCCCTGGTGCTGCTGGAGGCCCTGAAGCTGCAGTGGAAGGGCCGGCTGGACGGCTCCCTGCTCTGCTGGCAGCTGCTGGCCGCCCTGGGCGGGGTGGTGCTCTGCGCCCGGCTGTCAGGGCTCTTCTGGAAGTGCCGCGAGGAGACCCCAGCCTGCCAGACGGCCTCCATCTTGGGGCCCCTCTCCAGCGTGCAGGAGCCGAGGGCCAAAAACCTCTACTACGGCCTGTGCCTGGGGGCACTGGCCAGCCTGGTCTGGGGCACCCGCTGCTGGCTGCGCCATTACGGCAACCTGAACAGCCCCTGCGCCCTGGTGCTCTTTGTGCGGTGGGGGTTCCCGCTCCTGGCCCTGGCCCTGGCCGGCTTCTGGGCCATCACCTCCGGCACCGAGGAGGCCCTGGTCAAGCGCCATGCCTGGGCCCGGCTGGCTCTGGAGGCCTTCCCCCGCGGGATCTACGCCTTGGTGGCGGCTGGCCTCCTCCTGGTGTGGTGGGACCCCGTGACTGTCTTCCTGGAGGGCAGCCAGGAGGTCCCCCTGGTGTCCTCCAGCTCCGAGGCCTTGATCCCCCAACTGTACCGCCGGATGCAGGCGTCCCTGAAGAGCCGGCTGGAGGAGGCCCCGGGCGGCTGCAGGGCCACGGTGGCAGCCTACGGGCTGGGCAGCGTCTACTCGGCCGCCTTGCTCATTGCCCTGGCCCTCCTGGCCTTCCTGCTAATGACGCTGCACACGGAGAGGCTCAGCCTGGCCTTCCTCCTGCTCTTCGTGGAGGCCTTCGCCCTGCTGTGGATGCAGGCCTGCGCCAGGGCCCTCTCCTCCTCCTCCGCTCCCTCGGGTGAGTCTGGGAATCCAGGCCAGAGGCGCAAAGCAGGGCCTTGGAAGGCAGCTAGCTAACGTCAGGGCAGGGCAGTTGGAGCCTCCGCTGTGAAGGGAAGCCCCGGGGCAAGGAGCAGGGCCACAGGGCTGGGGGCCCGGCCTGCAAAAGAGGCGGAGCAAAAGGCGGCTACTTGCCCGATGGACGGGCAGAGCTGGGGAAGCGAGTCCAGCTTCACCCTCTGGCCGGGTCCATAGAGAGTCAAACAGTGTCACAGCTGCTGGGCTGCGAGCGGCTGAGATTTGCTGGTTCCCCTGCTGAGGTCCAAGCCAGGAAGGGGCCTTGGGGCTGGGCTGCTTTGCAAGGGGCTCTGCCCTGCTTTGGGGCGGGGCTCTCGAATGCTCCTCCTCCTCCTCCTCCTCCTCAGATCCTTTCGAGGTGCCGTGGGAAGCCCTGGTCGCTTGGGTCCTTGCCGCCGCCCAGTTCTTCTACGCCACCGGCCATCAGCCCGTCTTCCCAGCCATCCACTGGAACGCGGCCTTCGTGGGCTTCCAGCAGGGGCACACCACCAACCTGCTGCCTGCGCTGCTCGTGGGTGCCAACACCTTCGCCTCTCAGATCCTCCTGGCAGGTGAGTGGCCTCCAGCCCAGCCCTCCTGCTGCTGCTTCCCCAGCAGCAAAGGGGGAGGGAGGGTCTGAGTGAATGGCAACCAAGGGCGGGAGCCGAAGAAGTGCCCCCTGGCAGAGGGGGCCTGTATGGGAGAGTGGGGTCCCTCCGTGGCAAGTCAGCGCTGCCCTTTGGCCCTCCTTCAGGAGAGTGCGTCTGTCTGTCTGTCTGTCTGCTCTCTCCAAGCTGTTTGGACCCACAGGTGGGGAGGGGGAGGGCGTGTGGCCTGCCTTCTGGCCTGTGTCCCTTGGTGACGACCCCTTTTCCTCCCGAGGCAGCCGGCTGCCCGTTGCTTCTGCTGTGGCCCTTTGTGTGTGAGGCCAGCACCTCCGGCGCCAGGAGGCCCAATGCGCAGCTCCAGGACAGGGTAGAGGAGCCGATGATGGAGATGAGGCTCCGGGAGGCGCCAGAGCGATTTTCAGCAGCGCTGCTGCAGCTGGGCCTCCGGTACCTGCTCGTTTTGGGGCTTCAGGTAGGTCTGCGGGAGCCCCTGGGAGGGGAGGGCCTGGCGGACGTTCGGGGCCAATAGGTGGCCCTGGGGAGTCTCACCTGGCTCCTCTGCGACCGCTGGATCCTCCAGGTGGTCCCTTTGGTGACCCGGTGGGGATTGGGAGCGTTTATTATTGATTTATTAAGCCACTTATACAGCTTATGCCCGGCTTACACACAGGTGACTCTGAGCACCTTGCAAGGTTTTAGAAATCTACCATAGGCAGGTAGATTGACCCTTGACTTATGAAAACAGCTGAGCCCCAAATTTCTGTGGCTAATTTAGCCCCATTTGACGACCTTTCTTGCCACACAATCAGATCAGCCCCTTGGTCGGCTCCCTCTCCATTTGGGGTCCCCCATCCGCCCACAAAGCCCCGTTTTTAGGGCCCTTTGGAAAAGCAGCCGGGGGAGCAACTGAACCTGGGTTGGGGGGGGGAGGCTCCACAAGGACCCTTTTTCATGGCCCCACCTGGTGACGACGGTCCACAATTGACGGGGCTTGTAAAGCGTGCCCCGCCTTTCCCCCCCGGGGGCCGAGGAGGTGGAACGGGGGAGAGGCATCCCTTTGACCCCGAGGAGCCGCCCCCGGCCTGTGGGTCCTGAGGTCACAGCTCAGGTGCGTGAAGGCCACCAGGCTTCTAGCCAGGGACCGGGCACCTGTTTGCCGCAGGCATTTGCCTTGTTGGCTGCAGGAGGCCTTGCTGAAGGCCCCCCCCTCCCAAGCCAGTTTTGCTGCGGCTGCCCCTGGTGACGCCGCTCTCTCCTCTGGCTGGACTGAGCCGTGTTCCTCTCCTCTGCTCTCCCGACAGCTTCTGGCTTCTGTTCTGGCAGCCATGATTCTCAGGAGGCATCTGATGGTGTGGAAGGTCTTTGCCCCAAAGTAAGTCCCTCCGATAAGTCGGTGCCTCGTGGCAAGCAGCTCTTTCTCTAACTTCCCCACAGCCCCAAAACCTGCACGGGAAGAGTCTGGGCAGGGCTCCTGAGCCTGGACTGCAGGCCGGGGCTGAGCAGAAGCCAGGATTGGGCTCCTTTTACTGCACGCTCAACTTCGTTAGCTTCAGACAGCTAAAAGCCGACGAAACGGGGGGCTGATGAAGAACATGGGAGTTCAACTCTCCCACATAGGCTGCCTGGTCTCCTGGGACGTTGGCGGGTGTTGCTCAGGATGAAGGAGAGGACCAGGCTGAGCCCGAGGGGGGAAGGGGTCAAGCACACCATCAGTTTGGCATCCCTGTGCGCCCACAAGGGATCTAAGCCCAGCCCTCCTTGAGTTCCTTTGACTCTTTATCTGCCGCCAGTTTGTCTTGACCGCCAGTAGTCCAGATTCTTCACGATGGTGGGTGAATGTCTGTAGTGGGTGGGTGGGGGATGAGGGCGGAGGCTCATTCTCCAAGCTTCTGGGCTGGTTTCCCAAAGTTTCGTTACCTGGCTAGGTGGCATCTCCGGCGGAGTTTAGGGGATGCTTCCTGACCCACACGAAGCCCTTGTGAGACACCGGCATCCCCTAAACTCGGCTCGAGGTGTTACCCGGCCCGGCAACGAAACGTTGGGAAACCAACCCAGAAGCTCGGAGAACGAAGCTTCATCCTCGCTTCAGATCCTTGTGTAGAGGCAGCATGGATTAAACGGGCCCTCGTTGGGCCACCCTTGGTCCTTGGTTTCAGGTGGGCCTGGCACTGGGATACCCTGGGGGTGGGGCCGACTTCGTCCATTGCTGATGAGGCCCCCCCACCTGTCAAACACAAGCACCTCCCTCTGCAGGTTCTGTCCTCTTCAGCTGAGATGCTCCCCTGGGAGGGAGGGAGGGAGGGAGGGGCTGCCTGAGGCTCCCGGAGCTCACCCTGTGCTGCTTCTCTTCTCCCCGACAGGTTCATCTTCGAAGCTGTGGGCTTTGTAGTCAGCTGCGTCTCCCTCCTCCTGGGCCTGGGCCTGGTCATGCGGGTGGATTGTGCGGTCAGCAAGTGGTTCAAGCAGGTCATCCTGGCGCAGCCCAGATAGCGCAGCAGCGCAAAGGAGCCGGTCAAGCTTCCTCCTGAGGAGGAGGAGGGGGGAGGGGTCCTGGCCTGCCCTCCAGAGATGCGCCCTGCTTCCTCCCGCTGCCCGGGGGCAGATAGGGGGCAGCCTCGGTTGCAGCACGTGAATGGCGGGGAGCTGCAATGGAGCGGCCCAGATTTGCCAAGGAGCGGAAAGAGGTCCCAGATGAAACCCAAGAGAACTCCAGGCCCCTGCACGCCCGCTTGCTGGGTGCAGGCATCTTTTGGGGAGCAGCCAGGTGGCTCTTCTTCCCCTCTTGGTAACTCTGGAGGAACCAGCAACTGAGACTCTGCAGCAGAGCGGCTGGGTGGAGGTTTGGCATCCCAGGCCCGGATGGTACGGAACAGGATTCTCCTGCAGGGCCAAGCGGTGGGCAAGGCGCCTGGCGGCTGCTCTGACTCAGGGCTTCCGAGGCAGAAGGCCGGGCATCTGAAGATCGTTGCTGCTGTTGTGTTGGGGTGCTAGATTCTGGGTTCGGGTTCTGCGTTCGGCTTTTTGAAATAAAAGTACGGATTTTTGAGCATGGAGCAGTAGCTTGGGCTTTGGAGGGCTAAGAGGGGGCCCCTGTATCTGCCCCGGCTGGGTCACCGGAGATCCTGAGGCCGCCTTGCCTGTTTTGGGGCCCAGTGAAGAAACCTCGGAGGTTTCCCTGTGCCCAGTCCATGGGGGCCTCTCTGCCCCACAAGTCTCACTCCTGGCCACCCTGGCCTTCCTGTTGGTTTTGTTTAATTTACTCGATTGTCATTGCACTGCATACAACGAAATCAAACACCCTCTTCAGTGCACATCGTGACCATGAAAATAAACACACATCCTTCACCCTCCACACATTGAACCAGAAACCCCCAACAGCACACCAACACTGATACACTATACAGCAGAATTCAAAAGAGCTTCTGCCTTGGGATAGAAGTTGAATTCCCTATTGAATTCTTTATGGTCATCGTACCTATACATACAACAAAAAGACGGGTGGCTCTTTGGAAGATGCAGGGTGTGGATTATATTATTTCATTACATTATGCATTTAATGGGAGCTTCATGGGGAGGGATCCGCAGGAGCTCTGAGCTGTGGCGGTGGCAGTTGCTGCTGCAGCTTCTTTCTGCCAGCCCAGGGTAGCTCACCAGAGGCTTTGACCCAGTGGTGGGTTTCAAGGGGGTTTACCACTGGTTCAGTGGGTGTGGCTTGGGCATGGTTTGCGCAGGCGCATACACTTTGCACACGCACAGAGGCTTTCCTACTCATCTGCAATCGCTGTCACTTCAACAGCAGGAAATAAAGGTCAGCATGGGAGCCCAGGTGGGCCCAACAGCAGCTCCCCAGAGACGACTGGTTCTGTCTCGGCTGATCTTCCGTGCTACCAGTACACCAGAACCGGTAGAACAGCACCATTGCTTTGACCGCTATCTGGGACGGCTGCCATAAAAGGGATGCTAGAAGTCGCAAGAAGGGGATCTAGAATTTCGAAACTGAACTGATGAGTACAAGGAAGTAAGTGGACTGCAGATCCCAGAAGCTGCCTCTGCGTGACATTGTGCACTTTAATCGTCGGGTCCATTCCAAGTCTAAATACCATTTTTTAAGGGTGGGGATGTGATTACGGAATGTATCAGCCGGAGACAAAAGCAGAATGGTTCAGAAAGCATACATTATTTTTTGCAGTTGACACATTTCTCTAGAGTTGCTCATTTGATGGCTAAGCACCAGCCCTGCGGAGAAGGCCATAAGAACCCGGTGTCACCAGGGCCACCTCCTAATTGCTGGGTGCTTTAAACCACACAGGCTGCTTGGGCAGAGCCTGGAGCCTCCCTGGGCAGTTGGACTCTGCAAAAGTGCGTTTTCATCCCCCAAATAAGGCGTTGACCAGCATATTTTTTTTTGCTGCTTTCTTCAACAGCTGGATGAATTAAAAAAGCTGCTGCTCCTTGAGGAGTGCAAAAGAAATCAAAGGAGATCTCTAGTAACCTCTTGAAAGATAACCTTAGGACAGGGCTCTCCACACTTGGGAACTTTTTAAGGTTTGTGGACTTCAACTCCCAGAATTCCCCAGGCAGATATGCAATGTATATAATGCTGGCTGGGGAATTCTGAAGTCCACAAAAGCCATCACTGATTTAGATAAAAACAGTCAAGGTCGGCTTTAGGACCGGCCCGGCAACCTTGAGGAAAAGCGGAGGCGGGGCCGATGCCGTAACCGGGCAAAGCTGAGCCCCACCCCCTTTTTTTAACTTGTTCCGCAAGGAGGAAATACACGTGGCCGTCGCGCGCTGTTCATTGGCTGAGGCCTCGGGCACCGGCCCGCCCATTGGCTTCCCCGCGGGACTCGAGTTTGCCGCCGGTCGGCGTTGCCTGGGCAACGGAAGCGTCCCGGCCAATCGGGTGGCGCGGCTGGAGCGTGCGCCGTAGCGTGAGTGTGAGAGATGGCGGGCGACGGCTGCTTGGCCTTGTGGCGGGCGGAGAACGACCGGCTGGCCCGGCGCTGGCGGAGGGTGCGCGGCCGAGGGAGGGAGGGAGGGAGGGAGGGAGGACGGCGGGGCGGGGGGGGGGGGGGGGGCTGTGCGCGGCCCGGGGGGACTCAGGCCCGCCCTGGTGCTTCCCTTGCCGGGGGGGCGCCTTCCCGGCCCGGCTCCGTTCGGGGGGCGGGGGGGGAGGATTGGGGGGGGAGGGGGGGGGGGGGGGGGGGGGGAGGCGGACGGGAGGGGTTTTCTCCCCGGGACCCTCGTCCTCCTCCCCCCCCCTCATGGCTGCCCCCGTGGCTTCCCCGCAGGGCTCCCCGCCGCCCTGCCGAGCCTCCCCTTGGAGCTGGCCGTCCTCTGCAACGCCCTGGCCGCCGAGATGCGCCCGCCCGGCGGCTGGCCCCAGCGCGCCTCGGCCTGGATCGAGCGGGGGCTCCGGCGGGGTAAGAAGCGGGGGTGGGGGGTGGGGGGCGTCCAGGCCTGGAAGGGAGAGCCGGCCAACCCTGATCCCCCAACCCCCCCCCCCGCTCTCCCCCGCCAGCGCTCGAGGCTTGTGCGGCGACCGAGGAGGGCCTCGACTCCGGGGATCTGTGGCCGAGGGTCCTCCGCCAGGCCTCGCCCGAGGAGCTCCGGGGCCCCTTGCACCACCTGGCTGCCCTGCAGGCGGCCTCGTGGCTGGCCGACCACCAGCTGGAGAGAGCCCGGGAGCTCCTGCGGCTCCTCAGTGGTGCCCAGGTGAGGCGGCGGCGGCTGTGGGGCTGCAACCCCTGGCTTGGGTTGCCTCTTCCCACCTAAGGGGGAAGCCCAGATGGAGGGGGGGGAGCTTTACACTGGAGGAGCAGCTGATCAGAACCTGGCCAATTAATCCCTGAGAAAAACGCTTTGCTAGCAGTTAAATCCAGCATGAAAAGGTGCCCACAGGTTGAGTCCAAAGGCCAAATGGCCTTCTCTGTGCTAGGGAAGGGCATGGATCCCTTTAATAAAATATTATTATTCTGCAAGCAGTCAGCTCAGACCTCTGGTTAAAGCTTTCCCCTAGCAGCCTAGATAGGAGGAGACTGAATGGCAGGCAGAAGGGGGTGCCAAGAAGGACAACCCAAATAATGGGGACCTCCCCCCGTCTGTCTTTGGGCTGTGCGATGCAGCCCCGTTCCCTAGTTCCACCCGCTACATCCAGTGAATTGATTATAACGTCTGATATGCGTTGCTCTCTCTCTGACCATCTTCACCGTTTGGAGTGGCGTGGTGGGTTCGCCTTCCTCTATTCTGGTTCTTTGGGAATTCTTTGTTCTTTTCAGATCCCGGGCTCTCCTTGCGTTGGCTGTGACAGTGAGCTCCTTTCCCTGCTGCAGATATGGCGCCCCCATGAAACGGGGGAGTCTGACCCCCTGGTGGTGCAAAACATCTCCGACTTGAAAGACATTCTGTGGGCCTCAGCGGCCTTCCTGCAAGGTGAACGTGGGATTCTCCTTTCTCTGGAGGCTTTAGGGCCCTTTGAACCTTCACCTTTGCCCTGCTGTTCCTTTTGCCAGTAACACGGCCGTAGATTTGAGACACAGATAGTCCTCCCATTGCGACCACAGTTGAGCCCAAAATTTCTGTTTCTAAGCAAAATATTTGTTAAATGACCTGTGCCTCGTTTTACAACCTTGCTTGTCTCAATTGTAAAGTGAATTACTGCAGATATTAAGTCAGTAACACACTTAAGTGAATGTGGCTTCCCCATTGACTTTGCCTGTCAGAAGGTTGCAAAACGGGATCATGTGATCTGGAACACTGCAGCCGTCATAAATATGAGTCAGTTGCCAAGTGTCTGAATTTTGAGCATGGGGATGCTGTGAAAAATGGTCATAAGTCACTTTTTTCAGTTGTGCTGTAACTTCGAGAGGTCACTAAATGATGCTTTTAAGTCAAGGAAGGACCTGTTAGTCCTCTTTAGACAAGCGGCACAGAGATCTCAGTGTGCAGCCACACATTAAATTGAATCCAGTTAGACTTCCTGATGCGTGTTTGCCTGTTCCAGGTGTTCAGCAGCTGGAAGCTGACAACCCCCATGGCGCCCTTACCTTCCTCCAAGCGGCTGTGTCCGGGCTCTGTTCTAAGCGGATCCTCGCCCAGATCTTCACCTTGATGGGAAGCTGCTACTGGAAAATAGTAAGGGTATATCATGTGTTCTAAGGAATGTGGGTAAAATGAAAAAAGAAACTATCCAGACCAGAGAGTCATCAAATATAATGACGGGAAGGGATTTTGGAAACTAACCAGTGCAAAAATTTGTTACACGTGTCCCTGACAGAGGAGCAATAAAAGCAACTTGTGACAATGCTGAATAGCTGTTGGAGTTAGGATATTTTCCCTGATGACCAGTCAAAACTCCTTCCTCGTAATGTAAGATCCCTGCTCTGTTGCTAGGAAAAATGGAAGGAAAGAGAAGCAGCACTCGGAGGGATGCATTCAGTTACTACAGTGATGGGTGAACTACTGAAAGGCCAAGCTGGAGGCAGATTGTCAGGAGGAAAAACTATGCGATCGCGGTGACCTCATGGCCCATAATCTGCCTGCATCATGACCTTCATTTATCCTATCGATGTCTAGGACTTTGTCTACCTTGAAGTTCACATTGCCAGCTTTTACCATCATTACTAGCTTAAGATCTCCCCATTTTTCCAAGTAATGCATAAATATTTGAAAAAGGACAGATAGTCCTTGACTTGATGACCATAACTGAGCCCAAACTTCTGTTGCTAAGCGAGACAGTTAAGTGAATTTTCCCCCATTTTATCACCTTTCTTGCCACTGTTAAGTGAATCGCTGCAGTTGTTAAGTTACTCACACGGTTGTTAAGTGAATCTGGCTTCCCCATTTGCTTGTCAGAAGGTTGCAAAAGGGATCACATGAACCACCACCACCCCCGACACTGCAACTGTCATAAATATAGGTCAATTGTCAAGCATCTGAATTTTGATCATGTGACCATGGGGGTGCTGAATGGTCATACCGGGTCTTTTCTTCCCTTTTGAAAATGGGGGCAGCATTTCCCCTGAACTGCACACCACAACCAGCATTCCTGTAGTATACAGAAAAACGGTCATAAGCCCCTTTTTTTCAGTGCCATTGTAGCTTTGAATGGTCACTAAACGAACTGCTGTAAGTTAAGGATTACCTGTACAGGGTTTGGAATCAAACCGTGTAAATATGATACTTGATTTCTTCTGCTACTGTTATAACTGTTTACTATTATGGAACGGGATGCTTTCTGGATGTAACTGTCCCCATTGATTCTGCATTTAACGGTATCGCATTTTGCCCTTGTTCTGGGAAGAGTTTTGTAAACACTTTGCTGAAGTTGTGCCACGTCCACCGTTGGCCCCTGGTGAAAAAAGGAGATCAACTAGCTTTGGCATGATAAATGTTTTGATGGCGCTTGTCGGAGGATGCTTTGGTTTCTCTAGATGCTCTCAAACTGCTCATTAAACTGCTCCAGAGTTTTGCTTAGGATGGTTGAAGCGAACACCCACAGATCTTGTCTTCCTTTTTGAAAAAAGAGGCAGCATTTTCCCTGAACGGTGCTGTATACCACAACTGGGGCTCCAGGTTTATACCCAGGGTGTTTGGCCTTTGAAGTCATCCAGACAAGAAGCGCAACCGGTGCTGCCTTTACTGTAGGGTTAAAGAGAATCTTGCAAGACTCTGAAAGCATCTGTTTCCTCTTTTTAGTGTCCAGAGATGCTAGCAGTTTGAGCTGCTTCTCTGGTTCTCTCCCACTTGCGGACTGAGGTGCCTCTTATCAGTTCTTCCTCCTGTCCCCCAAGGTCTTTCTCACAGCCCATCAGCCGCAGGCTTCCTCGGGGCTCTTGAATGAATATAATGAGTTTAATTCAAGGTCGCCTGCTCCTCTAACCGCCTCTTTCTGTCCTTGGGTTGCCAGTCCCTCCTTGTGGCAGTTGTTGGGTTCGTCTGAACACAGCTCCCCTTTGGGAGAAGATCCAAGCAAGGAGGCTGGAAGAACTCTCTCCCCTCCCTGCCACTGCTAATCTTCCACCAGCCTTCTCTCTCTCTCTCTCTCTCTTTCTTCTTTTTATTGTCATGCCCGTAAGTCTTTTCAGTTGCTTTTAGCTTCTCCCACACCCTTCAGTTCCCTTTGTGCTTTAGCCTCCTTGCTGGCTTGCTTTCTGCAACTAGCAGCTTCTTGCCGATGCAGTTGTTTGGTGACTGCAACTTCATACAGGTCACTTCTTGGCTCTTTTGGAGGCTGGCTATGCATATCTACCCTGTTTTCCCGAAAATACGACCTACCCTGAAAGTAAGCCCTAGCTTGATTTTTACACTTGTGCCCAAGATAAGCACTACCCTCAAAATAAGCCCTAATTAAGACCCCATCCACTCCAGAGTGCACAGGTAAAAATTAAGCTAGGGTGGGGATGAGGGGGTAGAGTTGCCCTACTACTTACCTTTGGACAGATGTAGCCAGCCTTTCCACACCCCAACACCTGCCTTGCCAGCCCATTTTTTCTGCAGCCAGCAAGACTTTCCTAAAGGCCTCTGGAGCTGATAACAGAGCCCCAGATCGATCCAGAGCTCTGTTATCGGCTGCAGAGGCCTTCAGGAAAGCCTTGCTGGCTGCAGAAGAAGAAGTTCCTGAAGGCCTCTTGCAGTGAAAAGGAGGCCGGGGTGGGGGTGACACTCACAAATGAGATTAGTCATCCCCCCCAAAATAAGACCTGGTGCCTTTTTTGGTGGCAGAAAATATAAGACAGGGTCTTGTTTTCGGGGAGCCATGGTAGAAGTTCCCCGAGCAGCTCCTTTTGGTTCTAATCAGAGCTGTATGCCTTCGTACTTCCAGTGTCTTATATTTGAGAAATTCACAGTGCAGAACTTTATTGATCTAGTGCAGGAGGACCCCAACCTTTTGGGCACCGGGGACCGGTTCTGTGCCGAAAGGTCTTTCTGCCGACTGGAGGGGGTGTGGTTTTGCATGCTGCCTGCATCCCACGGATGGAGCTTGGCTTCTTTGCGTGGCCCGGTTGCTGGCGTGCCGTGGCCCATGGACCGGAAGTGGGGGGACCCCTAATCTAGTGTACGTTGTAGCTATGTGTGTTTCTTTCTCTAGAGTCCTGAATCCTAATAAGAGGGAGGGTTCCCGTTGCCCTTAGCTTTTTCCCCAGATCCCCCCTGTCACTCAAGGAGAAGAGATCAAGGAAGGCTGGTCCCCGGGTCTCCTCGGCCTCTCTCTGCCAACTGAAACAGCTAACAAGGCCAGAGAGGAATGACTGGGACTGTGCGACAGTCTGGATGGTTCAGCTCTCCCTTCCTTATTGCTGCGCCTCAGTTCCGCCTGATCTAATTCAGGAGGCCATTTTCCTGACCCTTCCCTGGGCCTGGTGGCTTATAGTGCCTCCACAACAGTCTTGTCCTCCTGCCTTTTGCGCTCTCTTTTGTTTTAGGAGCAACGTTTGTTTGTTATCTTAACAGCGAAATAAAATTTATGATCTGGGTCTCTCCATTTTGCCTTTGTACAAGGCTAACAAGGAAACGTTTGCCACTTTGAAAACCTTGAAACGAACTCCAGGAATGTCACCAACAGCAGGTCCTCTTCGACCAAAGCCAGCAACTAGAACCTCCTCGTTCTCCTCAGTGAAGTTCAAACAAAAGCTGCTATTTTCTTCCCATTCTTCATGAGCTGGACTCTGACGCTCTTTCTGGTAGCAGAATTTGGCTGCTTAGTCTCCTCACCCACTTTTTCCAGGACAATCCCCTTGGCACGAGAAGCTCCCCCAGAAGGATTGGCTTTCAAAGCAGCCCCCCAATGGGCCTTCTCGTGATGCCTATCACGCCCCTCCTCTTCACTACGGTGACCGGGCAGCTTCCTGGCTGGACAAAGGGCAAAGGGCAGGACAGTTGCCCGTCATGTCGTCTGCAGATCCCTGGGAGGAAAAAGCCGCCTGCCTTCTCTTCTTGCCAGGGTCTCCTGCTCCCATTCCTTGACACAACCGGTGGCCTTTCCTGATGTCCAGCGCCCTCCTCTGGCCTCCTTTCTGAATAGGGGAGGCCCTTCGATCCGTGGGTCCCAGCCCCACAAGACGAAATTGCCGGACTCTACAGGGAGTCCTCGGCTTATGGCCACAATTGAGCCCGAAATTTCTGTGGCTGAGTGAGACAACCATTGGTTCCATTTTCCAACATTTCTTGCCACAGTCGTTAAGTGAAGCACTGCACTTAAAGTAAATGGTTAGTAAACGGATGCTAAGTGAATCTGGCTTCCCCTGTTGACTTTGTCCGAAGGCCGCAAAAGGGGACGCTGCGACCGTCATAAATAGAGTCAGTTGCCAAGTGTTGGAATTTTGATCACGTGACCAAAATTCACTTTTTAAAGTTGCTTTTTTCAGTGCCATTGTAACTTCAAATGGTCACTAAACAAACCGTTGTAAGTGGAGGACTGCCTGTATTGGCCTCCCCCCATCCTAACCTCCAGTTCTTCCTCCTTGTCCTTGGAGTGTTTCTCCAGAGACCTGGGAATCCTTGGTTACGTAGCCTGACCTGTTTCTCTCTCTCTCTCTCTCTCTCTCTCTTTCTCTCTCCCTCCCTCCCTCTCTCTCCCCCCTTTCCTGGCCAGCTTCTCTCTCCGGTCTTTGGGTTACGAGTGGAGGGGAAGGAGGGGGCAGCATCTGCTGAATATCCCAGTCACGAGAGGAGGGTCCCCGTTGCTGGGTGTTCTTTATGGTAGTGGGAAAGCCTGCAGACCCTCCAAGCAAGGCTGGCCTGACTGAGCCCAAGGCAGCTAGTCATGAGCTCCCCAGAAATCTTTTCGGCCCCCAACAGTCCCCGGAGTGGCCTTTGAGGCACCACCGCCGAGCCTCCTTTTACCCCAGCTTCAGGCCTTGTGTTGATGCTCCGCGGATCCTCAGTCTGGCTCTGCCCTCTCTGAGAAGAGACCGACGTGCCGCCTCTTTTGGACCTCCAGGGCAAGCCGCACACAGCGCTGGAGCACCTGAAGCAGGCCCTGCAGACGGACCCCACCTTCCTGCCGGCCCTGTACCAAGCAGCTCTCCTGTACCACCGACTGGGGCTCCTGGAGGCCGAACTGGAAGCTCTGCTGCTGCTTTGTCAGGTGGGGCTCAAGAGGACGGTCCAGCGATGGCCCCTCCCTCCGCCTTCCCTCCCCAGGGAGGGAGCTGCCTGCACCGCTCCCTTTTCCGTCCGGCTGGGAAGAGGGGAAAATGGCTACGGCAAGTGTTCGTAGGGCATTTTATGATGCTGCTGCTGCCAGGATCCATGACCTGTATTGCTTTCTTCTACTACGGCGTCTCCCAGCCTTGGTCCCTTGAAGATGCATGGACTTCAACTCCCAGAATTCCCCAGCCAGCCTTTCCAGGAGTGGAAGTTGACAGGTGTTCAAGGGACCAAGGTTGGGAAATGGGGGGGCTGTTCTATAACCAGATAAAGTGAGGGCGCCTGCTGGGCTCCGAGAGCATCGTCTTGGCTGCAGCTGCAGAGTCCGGCATTTCCCCCTCACCCTCTTTCTTCTTTTCCCAGGCCCTGGAGAGTCCTCCACCAGTAACCCCAGAGTCCCACGACCCCCATTTCCTCATCCGAACGGAGCTCCTCACCAGCGGATGCCGCCCAGCTGCTTTCCTTGCCCCGAGCTGCCCATCAGGGGTGAAATACATGCTGGCCAAGAGGTGTTTGCAGGCGGAGAGGTGAGGGCCTCCTTCCTCCCCTGGGGCTCCTGGGGCTGGGCTGGCAGTTCCTCTCCAGGAAGGCCTCCTCCTCTTTCCAAGTCTCAGAGGCCTTGAGAAACCACAGCCAGAGCCTGATGGAGAGAGAAGCTGGCCCTGGCCCTGGCCCACACGCCGGGTCCGAGAAGGGGTCACGGAAGTGAGGTCTGCTGATGAGTGTGTGTGTGTCTCCCCTGCAGGGCAACAGAGGCTGCAGAACATTACCTGGACCTCCTGGCTCTCTTTCAGGAAGGGCCTCTTCCCCAGGTGAGGAGCTGCAGCTGTTTCCTCCACAGACTCTGACTCACCTGGGTTATTTGTTGGAAGGCCTCCCAGGGTCAGAGAGCTGGAATGGGTTAAGGCAGCTGCAGGGAAATAGCCCCCCCCCCTCCTGCGCCCTCCCTCCCTCCGCATGGATGATCCCCAGCGTCTCTTCCAGAGGGAGGGGGGTTGCAGGAGGGGGGAGCCCTGGTCGCCTGGCGGAGCCTTTTCTGAGTAACTTGTTTCCGGAAAAGCCACAGGGTCTCACGGGCTGCAGTTGGTGCCTTTTAATAAAGCTGCAGGTCATCCTCAAGTTACGACTGTAATAGAGCATCATGGTTGCAACTCATGACAGTTGTCAAGTGGAATGATTTAATTCAAGTGGTCTTTAGGCAAATACCATGGGAGTTTCGCCCTGGGCACGGTTTCGCCGACAGCCAGGACTAAATGCCCGTTCTCAGCAAACTCATCACAAAATGCAGTTATGCAGCCATGTGATGTTGGAATGGCCATAAATGAGCCCTGAGCTGCCGAGCACCTGAGGTGCAGTCAGGTGACCATGGGGGGGGGGGGCCTTCGACTCTTGATCACAGGTACCACCACCCCCGTCACTAAGTGATCAGTCGTACATCAGAAAAGGGCTACCTTAATATTTTTCCCCACATGTAGGGGAGATTTTAAAAATGTCCCTGTGACCTCTGAACTCTCCAAAAAGATAAGTGTAGTCAGTTTTATGAACTCAGGTTGCTCCCCAGGGCCATAAGTTGCCCATTGGAGGGGTGGGGGCCGGCTGGGAATGCCCACTCCCTTCCCCGGGGATCCTGGTGCCCTTAAACACCACCCCTGCCTGGCCTGTCAAGTCTTGAAGTTGTGTAAGTTGTGTGTTCAAAAGAGCAAGAAAACCCGCCTAAGGTTGTGTGGGCAGAGGAATGTGGCTGTGGAAACGAATCCTGCTGCTGAGCTTTGGGTGGAAACGGGTACTTGGTGTCACCCCAAAAGGTCCCCCAGTCAGGGGGTTGCTGAATTCGGGCTCACTGAATTCGGGAGGAGGCGATTATCCCCCCTCCCATCTGTGAAGGCTGCTTCCCGGAGCAGGGTTCATTTTTGAGGGGGTGGGGGCCTTTTTCCTCCTCCCAGGTGTCCCAGTGCAGCGAGCCGGCCGTGCCCAGAATTTCAGAGGTCTTCCTGGAAGCGGCCTCTGCTCTGGAGGAGGCAGCCAGGCACCAGGAAGCCGTCGTGGTGTGCGAAGAGGTGGTCTCCCACACAAGCAGGCTGATCCCGGCCAAGCTGCGCATTGTGCTGGACCCGAGTTCTGCAGAGAAGGCCGTAGGGGCAGAGAGGCCCTTGGCAAAATCTCCTGCTGCTGCTGCTGCCGCCCTGGAAGAGCAGAGAGAGAGCCTGCGCTGTGTCCTCTGGCAAGCGGCCGCCCACTTGATCCAGGGCTGGGCAAGAGCCCGGCTGGGAGAAACCAAGGAAGCCATAAGCAGCTTTAGCAGGTAACTGGCACCCGGTGCAGCCCTGGCCATTGATGGCTTGCCTCTCCCTTTCGCACTGGGACAGCCGGCAGAGGAACCTCGTTCTGTGGAGTCAGGAACAGTCCCCCGAGCGTCCTGGCTCAGCCTTCAAAGGAATAGAGCTGTGTAGAATATATCGCATATTCCTCCCTATTTTGAATACGATTTCCTCCCTTTGTTTCTGCTTGCCCGGCATGCATTGATTGTGGCCGAGAGCCAGAGAAATGGTGAAGGTTTCACCCCAACCTGTAGCCTCCTTTGGAATTCCTGAAAAGTAAAAACCTCTGTTTTCAAAAGGAGAGGTGAGAAATCCACCTGTTTGCTCTCCGTAGCAAAAGGAAGCTCATCGCCCTCTTCCAAGGTGGCAGAATAGGGTCAGCAAAGTGTAGGGTTTCTGTCCTTGGGGGCTGGATCCTTCTCTGGCAGCACGGAAATGATGGCGCTTCAACCCTTCTCCAACAGGTGTCTTAATGATCTCCTGAGAGTCCATTTGGTCAGCACAGGTATGGACAGAGGTCTTCATTGGCTGCTTCTGCCTCCCTCTTGACTTGGTTCTTTGGCTCTTTCCAGGGGAAATGGCTTCTCTTCACTTGAACCACAGGGTTGGAAGGATCAATTTAGGTGATCCAGACCATGAGTGAACGTGTGCACGCGCACACCCCCACCCCCACCCACCACTCAGTGCAAGGGTCCAAATTTGGGCCCTCCCACAATGGATAGCCTTCCATTTCTGGAACTGCTGTTAGAGGGGTTTTTCCTCACCCCTGATTTGGAGTCGGCCTTCTTGCCACTTAAACCCATCCCCTGTGTTGCTCTGGGAGGACCCAGGAAATACCTCAGCCTTCCTTCCTGATACTTTGTCACGTACAGGTAATTCTTAGTTTATGGTGACAAATGAGACCGGACTTGCCAGTGCGATTTTATGTGAGCACACTGCTTAGGAATAACTTCCAGTTGCCTTCACTGAGTGAGGATTTCGCATGATTGACTTCGAACTTCCTGCCGGCTTCCTCAATGACGGTTTTTGTGGGAAGCCAGCAGGGAATGTCAGAAATCCCAATCCTGTGTGACCATGGTTCACTGCAAACTTGTATTCACAAACCAAATTGTAATCATATCACCAGGGACACGGCGACAGCTGGAACTCTGAGGACTGGTCATAATTACCACTCATGAGTTTGAATAGTCATTGAACAGGTGGTTGTTAAATGAAGACCACCTGTCTTTGAAGGGAATTGGCAGGTCCCTTCTCTGTCTTCTCAAGGCTAAGTGGGTCCACTTCCTTCAGTCTCTCTTCATGGGTTTATTTCAGCTCCCGTGAATGTGGTTGCCTTTCTCTGGACCTTTCTCCAATTTCTCTGGAACCTTCTTGAATGTAATTCGGGTGTGGTGCCCAAGATGTGATGTGACCAAAGCAGAAATAAGTTCTCTCCCTTTCCCCTTCTGAGAGGCTGACTTTGCCTTTGGGGTCCTGCCTCCCCAGACAATGAACACTCCCAAATGCTTTTTTTTATTTTGCAATGGGTTTGGGTGCTGATAGCATTGGGCTGTATTGACTAGTTAGACTGTCCCTGTTTTTTAATTGCTGTATTTGTAACATAGGGTGCTGCTTGGAGTCCTTTGAGAACTGGGTGCTCTGTAAATCATTGTATAAATAAAAAAAAATAGCAAACAGAAACCCCCACAGCCACAATTTCACTAGCTTTCTTGTCGGAGAGGAAGAAGAAAGCTGCTCTGGGGTCTCCAACCAAGCTAGTTGTCTAAATCCTTAAAATGTTTTTTTTTTAATCCATTTGTCCTCTTTGTACATATGTAAAGTAGCAGAGAAATGGGCCACAAAAGAGGTAGTGGTAAAAACAATCCCTAATTTATAAAGTTTGGGGAATCTTCCTCTAATCTGGTAAGATGGTTTTGAATTTTATTTGTCATTCGATAGACATTAGCTATCCTAACCCAATTTTTTGTTAACCGCAAGTTGGACAAATCTCTGCTTCTCATCTCAGTTGTTAAATGACTGAAGCCCAGAAGAGCCAGGAGCAGTTTCCTGTGGCCCCTCGCAGGATGAACTGCGTCTCTTCAAATCGATGAGCTGTTGATGGACAGACTTTCTCAAACAAAAAGTCAAGCTCCGTTAGGCCTGCACAATCTACCTGAGAAGTGCACAACCAAAACCGAGATGAGGTTAATCTAGCAAACTGTATTCCTAGCCCATCTATGCTGACTTCTGAAAGTGACCACTGTTTTCGTGATGGGATCCCTCTGGGATCTCCCCAGGATCACATCAGGTTGGTCCATCTGTAGGTCATGCATTTACATCTCCCCTTTTATAAGTCCCCCGTTACGACCCCGGCTGGCATACAATCTCAAGCAAACAATCTCGTGCCCGGACTCTTCAGTGAGGGCCGTCGGCTCTTCAGGATCGGAGACTGGCCATCCGCTGTTTCCTTCGCACAAGGTGTCGGGTGCAATTTAGTACTGTACTTCGCTCCTTCAAAGAAAAAAAGGGGGTCTGCTGAACAGTTGAGGGGTCTCTGCTTCCAGTGCTTTTCTCTTGGCCAGGGGGCTCCTTTTTGCTGGCTCTGTCCTGGCGTGGCTTCATTGGAGGGCTGGCAGCCCTTGCGAAACGGAAGAATTGGCCTCGTTTTTTTGGGGGGGGGGGGGACACACTTCACCGTCAAAGGCCGCTGTGTTCTTTCTCTTGCCAGGCAGCGGCAGATGTGAACCGGAGGGAGGGCAGGCGGCCGTACCCGAAGCAGAGCTGCTCCCCCAAATCAGACTCCTGGCCTTGACAGGACGAGGGATCCAGTTTCTAGAGCTGGGGAGGTTCAAAGAAGCCTTGAGGGATTTTCAGTACAGCCTGCAGGTCTCTCCAGGTACTTTCAGCGTGGAAGCCCTGCCCTGAAAGGTTAGAGAGTCTTTGGGAGGAGGCACTACACAGCAAGGCACCTCGCTCTGTGTGTGCCCGGGGGGACGTTGGGAAGCCCCCAGAATCTGGGTTAGTCTGAGCAAGGCGAGACGCGGCCCTTTCTCACAGGAGCCCTGGGCAAGGGGAGCCTGAGGATGAGGGGTCTCTGTCAGGCATGGAAAGGCCCCAGGCGGAGGGGCAGCTGTGGCGGATTATGCCCCTGCGCAGGAGGGATCTGGGCTGATCACTCCACCCCCAGGTTCCGCCATCCTTTCTCCTACAGCCTCTTCCTTCTTGTCTTACAGACAGCGGCACGCCTACCTTATACTTGCTGCACACCCTCTGGAAACTTGACCGGAAGCAGGAGGTGGCTGCCCACTGGCCGAAGCTCCCGTCGGAGCCTGGCTTGATGGAGGGAAACACGGGCAGGTGTGTGTCAGGTCGGGCTAAGCCTTCTCCCTGAAGCCCCTCTAGGGAAACTCCGCCTAGGGAGGTTCCGTCCAGGCTCCCTCTCATGGGCCTCATCTAAACGGTGCCCAGTTCGGGTCCGGTTCTGCTTCCTGGCCACCAACCTGCAAAACAAACCCTTCCTTTCTGCTGCTCTGGTCAGCCAGACAAGGACGCAATGAAAAAATAATAATGTATTGTTAGATATTTTACCTTGCCTGTGTATTATATACAGGCAACTCAAGGCAGCAACCACACATCATCCTTGTATTTCCCCCATAACCCTGTGAGGTAGGTTGGGCTGAAGGAGCGTTACTGGCCCAGTCACCGAGTCAACTTTGATGCCTAAAGCGGGACTAGAACTCACTGTCTCCTGGCTGATTGGTCCAAACTCACCCAGCTGGCTTTCATGCCGAAGACAGAACTCACCACCCCCTAGTTCCTAAGCCAGCACTTTCTCCACCACACCGAACCCCTGACCCTCTCTGGAAATTCCTGGTGCTGCCTCCCCCAAGCTAATAGAAAGTGGAAAACGGTTGAAGTGTTGGGTTCTTGACGTTCTTTGAGACGTTTCATGACCAGGCTTGGTAACATCATCAGTGTGAGGGGGAGGGGGAGGATTTGCTGGCTGTTTATATAGGGTAGCTTCCCCTGCCAGGTTTGGGAGTGGTTGGTTCCTTGATTAGGATCCATTGCCTGTTCCCTGTGCGTCTGAGTGACAGCTGTCGGAGAGCCTGTCTGCTGGGCTCTTGATTTGCTTCCTAGACTTTAAGTGGTATAGGAACCAGATTTACCCCGGTTTCTCCGTCAGTGGGGGGATGTGTTGAGAGGCCAAGCTTCAAGCACCCCCGTGTGGAATTGGGCTTGATCTGAGGTAGTAAGAGCTTCCCAGTTGAAACCGTGGTTGGGCCTGTCTGTGTGTTGTGAAAGGGAGGCGTTTTTGTCAAGTCGCCCGACTGCCGGTTGCTGCCTGCGTCATTCTGGGCATGGACGGCTGTAGAACTGCTGCCTTCACCCGAAAGGAAGAGCCCTCCCCCAGTGAACGGGAGGGGGGCTTCCTCCCCTCCTCTCTCGGGCTTTGGCCTTGTGTAGCAGAAGGTGGGGTTTTTTTGGGGGGGGGGGGCAGGCTGCGCTCCCACCCTTGGTCATCGCAGCCTCCTGCTAACTTTGATGCCCCTCCCGCCCCTCCCTTTGTCTTCCAGATCTTTCCCACTCTACCTACGATCGTGCGTGAAACAGATGGAGTTTCCCTGCAAGGAATCCTTTGCCAAGGATATAAAAAGCTACCTCGCTGCAGAGAACGGCCAGGCGCTTTGTGGCGGTGGCTTCTCTCCTCTCGCCAGCTTTACGCTCAGCTGCAGCTCCCCCTCCCGAAAGGGGCTTCTCCAGAGTTCGCTGGAGCCCGTGGGAAGAAGGCCACGCTTTCTGTTTTGAGTTCCCAGGTTTGGGGGGGGGTGCAGGGGAGTGGGAGGGGTGACCTTTCTTAATGGCAGCAAAGAGCGTTCTTGCTCCCACATGAATATCTGCCAGGGGGCTCTGGCTCATGGAGCTGGCTGGTGTGACTCAGGAGGGCTTCGTGCTCAGGGGGAAGGGGCAGAGTAGGCGGCCCCCCCCCTTCGTAGTGTGGGGGACGGGGGGGGGGAATCCTCAACTCCCGCAGCCGTTCAGAGGAGACCAGCCTTGGCTTCCAGGGCCTCCGTGGCCAGAGAGCCTGGATCCCAGAAGGCATCCTGGTGGGGTGAGACCCGCTGGAATGTGGAGCTCAACCCAAATGACCCTCCAAAGCTTTGGCCACCGTAAGACTTGGGGACTTCAGCTCCCAGGATTCCCCAGCCGGTTCTAAAACAGTCGACAAAGCGAGGCTTTGGGGTGTGTCCCCCCCCCCCCCCCCCCCGAGAACGACTGTTCCTCAATACGGAAGCCCTGTTGAGACTGTAGCCCTCTTCACCCAGGCAGAGGTTGCAAGTGAATCTTTCCTAAACCAGGTTTCACGATGGCAGGTTCTAGGAGTGACGGGAGACTCCAGTTAGGCCAACACTGGGTGGGAAATGAAGAGTAAAGTTCCAGCAGGTTTCTCCTCTCTCCGCAGGGAATGCAAAGTAAATATTGTAGCCCTCTCATTGCATCAAGCCAAGGCCCACCTGACCCGTATATTTTTTTCTCCCTGGGGAAACATAACATGGAAGCCCTCAATTCCTGGTCTGGAGGGGCCTCCCTGATGAATGGACAGTCAGTGGCCACCACACCATGCGGGAGTGATGTGTATAGAAGGGCGTCCTTTGACCTTTCCTAAACCCCTTTCTTTCAGCTCCCCTGGGTGATCTCCCTTGTTCCTTCTCCCTGCCCACTTTCTGTACGCAATACATGATTTTCTCTTTCTACAATTGGATCCCGCCTCCTCGTTCTCCTTTTTTTCTGAGCGGTGACTGGCAAACGGCAGGTGGCAGCAACTAACCAACCTTGGAAACGCTGAGGATTGCGCCTGACTAGATGCTTGGATGGAGCATTGCCAGAGTGCCCAGGGTTACGGAGTAAACTGGGAAGTAAGGAAAAGAAAACTGGGTGGCAAGGAAGGGCCAGGCAGCAAGAAGGAAGAAACGGCATGCGGGAAAACGTATGGCATGTGACCAGAATTTCCACTGCGAAGCAAGGCAGTTGTTAAGGGAGCCTCGTCCAATTTATGGCACTTTTTGTCATAAAAGGTTGTTAAACAAATCACTGCAGTAAGTGAATTGCGTCATTAAGTGAATCCGGCTCCCCCCCCCCCAATTGCCTTTGCTTGTCAGAAGCCAGTTGTCTGAAGGTTGCGAGTGAGGATTGTGTAGTCCTGGGATACACAACTGTTGTGAATAGACGGTGGTTGCCAAGTGCCCGAATTATGATCGTGGGGATCCTGCAACGGTCATAAGTGAGGACCGAACATAAGTCACTTTTTTCTTTGCAGTTGTAACTTCAAAAACTGACACTAAAGGAATAGTTGTAAATCAAGGACTACCTGTATTTGTTTTTTTGTCAATTTCTGCAACACCCTCAGAACCCTCCAGGCTCTTGGCCATGAGTAAATCTTTGGCTGATTGATGATGTGTTTCAAGTCAATGTTCACGTTTAATAACCATTTTATTTATTTATTTAAATTAATAAACGTCCAGATTTACAACTCCCAACTGGAAGGCTGCCTTCCGGTAGCGTAGCCATTGCCATGATAATCATCTGCTTTTCCTCCTTCTATCTCGCCAAGCATTTTGGACCTTTAGGGAAGGTGGATCTTTGTAAAACACTTGCATCTTGAATGTGAAATTTGGCTTGGTTTGTGTCCATTGTTCTCCTGAGTCTTCTCCGGCATCAGTGTCCAGAACCATCAGTATTTCCATCTTCTTCAAAATCCAGTTTCTGCTCCATCCAGGATCCCGGGGCGTTAGCAAGGCTTGGCGCAGTTCTGGTCTTTTTCAGGGGGAGACACATCACCGATGTGAACCGCGTTTCCAAGGGCCTTTGGGGCTTTTCTGTCGAGAGCTGACCTGCAACCTCTTCCTTGGCTGCTGGTTCCTTAGTGTTTGCTGAGAGCCACCCATGGTCGATTCTAAGGCTGTTGGTTCCCCCCGTTGCCCTTAGTTTAGCCGTCTCTATTGCACAGGCCGCTGGCCAGAAGCCACAGCAAACCTTATTCCAAGACTTTTGTGGGGAGAGCCGTCCAAGGGCCGGTTCCCAAGAGGCTGATGAAGCCGGAGTCCATGCTGACCCCCCTCTGGAAGGTTCCTCTTAAGGCTCTTTTTCTTGTCCTGTGGAAAAAGAAATGTGGCCATTACAGATATAGAAGCTTCTTGGATGGGAAGCGAAACGTCTTCAAAGAAACCCCAGAAACTTGGGGGGGAAAAGGCACCTTGGGGACCACCAGGACCTGGATGTGGCTGAGAATCCCCAGAGACCTAGAGATACAACAACTTACAAAAGTTTGATTAGTAACCATTTGAAGTTACAACAACACTGAAAAAAGTGATAGTGTCATTTTTCACACGGCCGTTGCTGCCTCCCCAAGGTCACGTGATTAGAATTCAGAGCCTTGGCAACTGACTCATATTTATGGCGGTCGCTGCAGTGTCCTGGGGTCAGGCGATAACTTCGTGGCCTTCCGAAGAGCAAAATCAGTGGGGAAGCCAGATTCATTTGGTGACTCTGTCACTAACTTAACTTCAGGGATTCACTTAAGTGGCAAGAAGAGTCGTAAAACGGGGCAAAATTCACTTAACAAATGTCTCACTTAACACCAGAAATATTGGGGTCGTAAGTCGAGGACTGCCTGTGTTTCTTGATTAAGCAACGCTTGGCATTCTGAAAAGCGGCCTTGCAGGCAGGAGCCGGTTCTCAGTGCTGCCGTCCATCGTATTTGTAGGAGAAAAGACGGAAGAGGTGCCTGAGGCTGCCCAAGCCCCGTGTCGGTCTTTGCTGCTCTTACGGGGTGGAGAGACGAGAGGCCACCCACAGCAGGCCAGGGGAGGGGCAGAGGTGGGGCAGACCCTTCCCCTGCGCTCTCACCATTTGCTGCCACGCTGATGAGGCTCCTGGGGGCACAGAAATGGGGGAAGCCCCCCCCCCCACTCCATTCTTTCATGGTTGGCCAAAACCATCTTGGGTTGACCAAAGAGCCGTGGTGGTGCAGTGGTTAGAATGCAGTACTGCAGACGAATTCCGCTGCCGACTGCCAGCAGTTTGACAGTTCAATTCTCATTCTCACCAGGCTCAAGGTTTGCTCAGCCTTCCAAGGTCGGTAAAATGGGAGCCCAGATTGTTGGGGGCAAGAGGCTGCCTGTAAAGACTAAAGCGGTGTTTAAGCCTGAGTGCTCTTGCTATCTGTCCACTTCCGTTCTGTGCAGTCTGGCTTCTGCTTGAGCAAAAGCCCCACAGAAGGCAGAGAATAGAAACTGAAAGGATTCGGTTGATGTCCTGGCTGGTGAAGTGATTCCCGGGAGAATTCCAGGCGGCAGCAGCAGCAGCAAAGCAAGACAGGAAAAGCAAGCATCCCTTTACTTTCCCTACATCCAGAGGCTGCTTCTCTTTCTGCCTTTCTCTTTAATTTCTGTGGCTTGGCATTTAAATTAGAGGCAACAGAGAGAGTTTAGAATGTGGAGTCCAAACTTGGCAGCTTTAAGGCCCTAGACTTCAGCTCTTCAACATGCTATGCTGGTTGGGGAATTCTGGGAATTGAACTCCATGGGTCTTAAAAGTTGCCACGATTAGACAACCCTGGTTAAGAGACCCCTCAGTGCAAACTGAAATAGCAAAAACCAAGCAATGCAGCAGTGATAAAAAGACCAAGCCAGAGACACACAGAAAAGAAAAACCCGAAGGACGTAGTTTGGAGGCCGCCTTCGTATTCCTAAGGCACTTCGTGGAGTGGAGAGCAGGCTTTCTCAACTGCCAGATAATAATAGTGGGAATCTGAAGCCTGAGGCAAAGGTGATACAGGGCCTTGCTTGGCAACTGCCCTGTGAAGAGCAAAAGGAAGTGGGCAGCTTAAGCTGAGCCCAGGAAAGGTGCTGGTTGTGGAATTGACACCCACACCTCTTTAAATTGCTGGGACTGAGAAAAGCTGCAGTAGCTCAAGCGACTCCGGTCAACGGAAGGAAAAGAAAAGAATACCTTGGATGAAGGGCAGCAAAGGTGTTACGGAATTGCATGCAGCGATTGGGGGGGGGGGATAAGTTGGCATTAATGCAGGTGGTCCTTGACTTTGTTTAGCGATCACTTGAAGTTGCAAAGGCATTGAAAAAAAGTGAGTGATGATCATTTTTCACACTTACAACCAATGAAGCATTGTGATCAAACTTCAGATGCTTAGCAACCAGTATGTATTTGTGATGGTTGCAGTGTTGTGGGGCCATGTGGTCGCCATTTGTAACCTTCCGACAAGCAACGTCAATGGGGAAGCCAGATTCACTTTACAACCACGTTACTAACTTAACAACTGCAGTGATTCCCTTAACTGTGGCAAGAAAGATTGCAAAATGGACCAAAATCATTTAACAACTGTCTTACGGACAGAAATTTTTAACTCCATTGTGATTATAAGTTGAGGAGTACCTGCAAAACAGCAGGGAAAAATCACTCTAGTCAACCAGGAAAGAGGACTGGCAAATTACAGTAATTTCCCCAAATCCAAGTTTGCTAGATTTTGTGTTATTGGCTCTCTTTGCACAAAAGCACATTTGTTTTGTCGAACATCCTTCTGGATGGACTTTAACCCTCAAGAATTGTTGAACAAGGCATACAAAAGATGTTTCAGGCCTACATTTGTTAAAGGAAAGTAAAAGAAGAAAGAATTTGGTCTCAGGTCATCCAGCGTCTCCCGGCTAAATGTTGCATAGGGACTCAAAGAGTAATACAGCAACAAAGGCAGGCTGTATGTTGCTGTTTCTGGAGAATGCAAACAGAAGAATAAGTTCGCCTGAATTATTTTAATACAAGAAGCAAATTTGGGAGAAAAACTACGACTCAGTCCAGCCTCTTTCCTGGGAAGAATGGAACTTCAAACTGCCTCCCTTTCCTCCTATTTCTCTGTCTTACTCATCACTGTTATTAGTGTCCAGATAGAGATGCTGAATTAGATGAATCCTTTATCCATGTAAGTACTAAATAAAATCTAAAATGTTTCCCTTGGGATAGACTCAATGGGAGCTTTCAAAAGCCACATATCAGCCTTTGTACTGAGCAAAAATCAGAAAATACCTTCATTAATCAGGAGAAGTGTGTAGTGTGAACACAGCCAAATTTTGGTCACTTGTCTGGTGATCACACCTTTACCTATGGGAGCAATCTTTTTTCCAGGCAGAGACCCTGGAGGAATTGCAGTTGTTTCACAAATGACTCTCAGAAATGGTAGCGGGAGTGAAGCTTTAGTTTCACTTGTCCTTTTGAAAAAGTTAATGGATGACTTAGAGCAGGGATTCTTCCCTTTCTGTACCTTAAACCCTTCCCCATTAGATACCAGCCCTTATTTTCTGAAAACATGGGCCTTAAAGATCTGTCTGATGCTCTTTTCTGTTCGCCTCTGCCTCATTGTCCCCTAGTCTTGTGCTTTTCGTTTTGTTTTCTGCATTGTTCTTGGGTTTTTAAAACTGTTTATAGCCATTGTTAAATTGCCCAGAGACTGAGGATTGGGTGGCATATAAATTTAATAAATTATTACTGTATTGTTATTTACAATCCAAATCAGTTGGGGTTGAGTGGCCAATAAATTCAGTAATATTTGCCTATTCCAAGTTCTTTGGAAGGATTCCATACATGGATAAAAAATTTTGTTGCTGACTGGGTGACCAAACCTAATAAATAGTAACAATAATAAGCAATGTTCTTTATTATTTGAAGAGATGCAACATAAATGTAATTTACTAGAGTGCAGCATGTTCCTTCAACTGAATAGTTTGCAGGGAGAACATTCAGATTGAGCCTCAAGGGTGCTTGATGGCCTGTAAAGCATTTCCAGCTGTTGTAAAATGTTGCCCCTCCCCCTCTGGTCACAACTGCATTTTTGTTGCTTGGTAATCAGCTCACATTTACAACAGTTTTAGTGTCCTTGGCCACATGACCCTGATTAGTGACTGAGAATGGTTTCAGGTGAGGACTACCATTTAAAAATGGCAATAAGATCAGGTCTGGCTTCAACTTATAACCCTCATCCCTTGCAACTTAAAATTCTGGTGATGACTAAGTCAAGGTCTGCTTTCTATACTGCTCACCATCTCCCTGCTGAGCTCCTCCAAGGATATACCTTAGGAACATGAAACCCAGGTCTCTTCCTGGGGGACAATAGTCCCTTGAGCTATTTCGAGTTAGCATAACTTTTGTGTCTGAAAACAGGCCTATGTCCATTGTGCTTCAGAACTCCCTTTCCTTGAGAGAGAGAAATTCTCAACTCAAGCTGACAAGGATTATAAATTAACATATATATTTTTTTAGAATAAGCTGGAGGGGACCTTGGAGGTCTTCTAGTCCAGCCACCTTCTCAAGCAGGAGAACCTGCCCTATATATATATTTAGTCTTGGCTGTTCCCAGATCATAAGGATCTTGCAGTGTTTCTCAGCCTGGGCCTTTCTAAGATGGGTGGACTTCAATTCCCAGAATTCCCGTAATCCTAAGGCTGGCTGGGGAGTTCTGGGGGTTGAAATCCACCCATCTTAAAATGACCCAGGATGAGAAATATTGACTTGGGGGCCCGTTAATATGTCATTGTCCTCAGAGGAACTTTCATTCAGATCAGGAAGCCACAGCGTGGGCAAAAACGGCCGCCTGGCTCCAGGTGGGTGAAGGAGCGCGAGGCCGAGGCCGAGGCCGCCGCCCTACCAGCCTCCGCTCCTCGGGCCAACCGCAACGGCGGCCCCCTCCCCAGGCAGCCCGGCCCCATCACCGGGTCCGCCGCCGCCCTACAAGGCCCATCCTCCCAACACCATAGGCTCAGAAACGGGCTCCCAAATCCCCAACGTCATGCGGCCCAGGGCGACCACGCCGGCGGATTACTTCCGAGGTCGTCTACAGCCCGGCTCAACCCACTCAAGGCTCCGAGGCTTATTTCCATAGGAGTGTCGTGGTGCCAATCCATATCTCCGTTTTTCGATTGGCCGCGAGTTCTTTTGACGTAATCCCCATCGGCGTTGCGTCGCTAGGCGGAAAGGGCCTTCGATTTGGCCTTTCGCCTGAAATCTTGCAGGCTCCGCCTCGGACGTCAGCCGATTTTTCTGATTGGCCCGCCCAGTCGCCGGGTGGCTCTGCCTTCCCGGAGGAGCTAGCTTCCTCATTAAGGGAGGGCGGGAAGCCGTTCCAACTCGGGGCTGCGATTGGTCGCGCGCAGCCGCCTCTATTTTTCGGATTGGTCGTCGCGCCACCTGTTGCTAGGCAGAGTGCGGCCTAGCGCGCCGGGCGGAGCGTCACCCCCGATGAGTCGGCGCTGATCGCTGAGGGGAAAAACCCAGTGCGGAGCAGGCAGAGCCGAAGCGACCCTCGCCGCCGCGCCAGTCCACACCGCCGCCATGGCCTCGGGACCCGAGTGAGTGCCCTGCCCCGAGCCCGCCGCCGGGCTCGCTTCCCCCGTTCGACCGGCCGGCCTTCCTCCCCGCGCCGGCAGAAGGAGAACAGCCGCGTCCCGGCGGGCGGCGACGTTGGCCCCCCGGCCCTGGTCCCCCCCCCCCGGAGGCCGCGCGGACCCCCCTGGCCGCCCTAGGGAGCGAGGGGGGCGGCGGGGGGCCCGGCCGGGCGAGGGCGCCGCTCCGCCTTTGTCTGCCGCCCGCGGGGCTCCTCCGGAACGGCTCGGCGGGGCCTGGTGGCCGAGAGACACGCCCCGGCGGGGGGAGCCGAGCGGGGGGGGCGCTGGGGTGGCCCTCTCCCGCAAAAGGCCCCTGGGGGTCCGCAGGGCTCGGGCGAGGCTGCCTCTTGGCCTGCCGGTCCTGGTGGCCTTCGGGAGGCCTCGCCCGCCTGGCGGGGCCAGGTTCAGCCTCACTTAGGAGCTCCGCAGGGCGAACCCCGAAACCCCGGGTTTATTGTGGGGCCGCTTTGAGTCGGTCGTGTGAACGCGGGAGGCCCTTAAAGGGGATGGACGGAGCCCCGCCGCCCCCCGCGGGCTCTTCCCGGCTTCCCGGGCGAGGAGAGCCGGGCCTTGTGCCCCAGGCATCCCTCGGACGGCGGCCGGGATCTATGGCGGGGCTTTCTTTCCAGAGGCCTCCGGAGCTCCCTCCCCTTCTCCGCCAAGCCAGGAGCCTCGTGAAGGGGAGAAGCGGAAGGAGTCCGGGTGCCTTTGGGAAAAGGTCCCTTCCTCCCCCCCCCCCCCGGCCCCGCCCGGGAAGGGGCTTCAACCCCCAGAACCCCCCGGGCCCCCCCCTCCCGATGGGGGGGGGGGTTGGGGGGGTTTGAGGGGGGGCAGGATTGGCTCAGGGCAGCAGGTGAATAGATGAGTGAGCAAGAGGTGGATGACGCTCCTGGCTTCGCCTTCCCGGCCCCCCTGGGTGTGTGGCTGGTGGGTGTGATTGGGAAGAAGAGAAGATGCTCTGCTAGAAACGGGGTTCTGTTTTCCCTCTGCAGACTTAGGGGTCAGGGGTGCCTTCTTTGGAGCCCTCGGTGCTCTCTCTCTCTCTCTCTCTCTCTCTCTTTCCCTTTTGTTGCTTTTTGATCTATTGGCAGAATGATTCCTTCTCTTTCTAGATCTCTGAATATTATGTAATAACTACTTTTAAAAGTAGCTCCAGTCATCTGTGTCTGCATGAGATTAAGACCATTAGAGATGCCCACCTAGCCTGTGGCCAGTAGCTTGTGAAAAGCTGCAGAATTTTGTTCTGTGACAGGCTGATCAGTTTTCTTTTGAAACCACTGGGGAAGGTGATTCAATATCGGTGGATTTTCATCAGTCAGCATCTGTTACTCATTTCTGTAGTTCTTCCCAGTTGCATCCCATGGAAGCTGGTAAAGTGCTGAGCCATGGGCCAGAGCAGTGTTTCTCAACCCCTGTACTTTTAAAATGCAGGGACTTCAGTTCTCAGAATTTGGCAGCAAGCATGTTGGGGGATTCGTAAAGTTGTCAAAGTTGAAAAACAGAGAGAGCAGTGAGATGGGCACCAGCTAAGTAATTGAAGTGGAATCCTGACATGGCTTGATCAGTAGAGCTGATGAGTCAGAAGTTGAGGACTGACTGCTCTGGAGTGAGGGGCTTTCCCTTTGAAAGGCCAGGCTTGTCATTTAGGGCACCCTTCATAGACCTGGACTCTGACACCCGGTGGCTTTTGGCAGTCTGTGGTGGGCCAGCTCCATCTTGAGAACTGGGCTAAAATGGCCCATGTCTCAATGAGGGCAGGGAATTCTTCACTGAGCTGCTGTTGAAGATTATTCAAAACTAACGTGGAATCACTTGGAAGAGGAAATTTGATAACAGAAGCTGGTCATAGGGAGCATTCCATTATGGACTAGAGCACACAATACAGCTCTAAATGGTTTGGAATTGGGGCATGTGAAGGCCGTTGCCTCTTTCACACATCAGTCTAAATATGGAGACATATTTCTCAAAACATTGCTTGTTTTAAAAGTCACTCTTAGGATCTTCAAGAGCAGCCCCATGTAAAGTGAACTGCAGTTGTCCAGCCATTAAGTGATGAGTGGGTGAATGACTACAAAGTTTTCTGAGCCACAGATGGCACACAAGATGTATTTGTGCAAAAACCATCCTGGCCATGACCTCCCATTGCACTATGGCAGGTGCGACTCTCTTAAACTGCCAGCAAACTCCACGGGGTGCAGTGTGGCCTCATCTACAGTCAAATCGGGGCTGTTGCTGTAGGATTTTGAATCTGCAGCTGCTCAGTCTTACTGTGGTTTGGCCTGTGCCCGATTTTTCCCATCCAGACATTGAATCAGGACTCCTAAATGCATCTCCGGTCCAGGCAGAGTTTATAACAGGGGGAACCTGTGCATTAGTGGACATACCTTGTTGGATGCCCGCTAATATCTCTGAAGTTTCATTGAGATATTAACGGGTGGGGATTGTGCAATTCCATATTGAAGTTCCCACAGACCTGGCTCTTTCCCCTCACTGCCTGAAACCCACTCAAAGGAGAACCCTTGTAAAATGATGCCTCCCCCTCCAATCCCAGCCAACAGAGCCAGTCCAGAAGGATAGCGTGGTCAGCGGAATCCAAAGGAGGCCCCAAGGTGTCCATGTCCAGGTCATGGTTGTCTCAAAGGTGCTTTTCCAAAAGGCAACTGGGCTTTCTGGGTTTTTTTCCTTTAAAATGTTTCAACTTCAGAACTGAAGGAGCTTCCTTAGATGAGAAACCAAACATTTTCAAGGAAAAGAAACAAGAAGGTCCAGTTGCCTTTTGGGAAAGGACCTTTGGGACAAGCTACCAAGACATATTGCAAAAACAAGACTGTTGTATCTGTTCTTACCCCACCACAGGTGATCTCCTAGGATGCCTTTTCTGACATTTTCTGTCTGGTGCCCATGTCTGAATCCCAGCTGGGTTTAGATCAGATCTTTCAGGATTCTCTGGCTATTGGTCAAGCACCTTGCAAATAGCTTAGCTTAAAAGGGAAGATTGGGTACGAGCAATCATTGCCTGAAAGAGGTAGGCTGGGGGATGACTTCTGGAGGAGGGAGTACCCCTCCCAGGAACTATGCAAATCAGCTTCCTGTTGCCTCCCCTGCAGCTTTTACTGGCCAGGTATCAGGTTCATAGTTGGCTACACTAATAGCTTGGACTGCCCTGTCCAGTTCCTCAGGGTCCCCTGGCTCAAACTGATCTTGGATATCTAGGCAAGATGGATGCCTCATCCTCTCAGCAATGTATGGCCAGCTATTCTCCAGCTGTGAGCAGATGCAAGCAATTTGATCCGGATACTTCGCAGCTGCCCCCTTAGCAGGGCTTTCGGTCTTGAGTTTTTAAAGTGGCCAGATAGCCACAGCCAGAGAATGACTTTGCTTCATCATTCTTATTGCCCTGGTGCAAATTCAGCCTTGAGATCTTATCTGTGGTAGTTTGCATTCATTCTTAGTTTTAGGCCAGAGGTCTCCAACCCTGGCAACTTTAAGGCTGGGGCACTTCAACTCCAATTCAATTGGCTGGCTGGGAGTTGAAGTCCACAAGTCTTAAAAAGCTGCCAAGATTGAAGACTATTTTATAGCAAAAGCACTTAGATTTATATATGGCTTCACCGTGCTTTACACCTCTCTCTAAAGCAGTTTACAAAGTCATCATATGGCCTCCAAGAATCCTCATGTTACTCCTCACTTGGGACAGTGAAAGTCAGCCTTGAGCCAGTCAGGATCAAACTCCAGGCTGTGTGCAGAATTTGCCTGCAATGCCGCACTCTAACCCCCACGGCTCCTGGTGTCGTCATCTCCCCGAGCTCCCTGGGTTGGTGGAGAGGGACAGGCCTGCTTGTGTCGTCAGAAGACTCTCACTTTGAAATGACCCCGTTGGAGCAGGTGCTGCACTGGGGAAGAGCCCAGGCAGGTGTTCTCCTCTTAGTCTGCCCTGACTACCAGTAGGGAGTCAGCCTTAAGCTTTCCCAGCTGTGGGTGGAGACAGGAGGGGAGGAGAAAGTGAGCCTTTCACAAGCCAACTCTATGCAGTATCACCTCACACCTGACTTTCATTTCTGATTTCTGTAGAAAATCTTACCTCTCTCTCTTTCTCCACGGCTGCCTAAACCCAGATCTGTTTAGAGGCCGGCTTGCTGGCCCAAGTGGGTCTGTGCCCCCGAAACGGCTTTGCTAATCCACACTGTCAATGCCTCTGGGCTGCCAGGCACTCCAGGTGGTCATTTGACAGAGGAGCTGTAATCTGGCAGATTGGCATCACCTCTGAGAGCCTGCTTCACAAGTTCCATTACTGTTTAAAAATGGAATAACTTGAAATTAGGGAGGGCAGGTAGGGATGGGCGAGGATGGCTCAAGGTCAGTCTCAGAGAGCACCAAGGATCCCAGAGGAGGAAGGGAGCTGTCGGCAGGTGTTTAGCATTATTATGGGTGGGTGGGTGGCCCATCCTTGACAAAAGGTAGCTCTTCGCTCATGATGTTTACGTTCTCAGAGCCTCGACATAAATGCCCCAAAGAGTTTTCTGTCTGTGATTTAATAGTGAGCAGGCAACCCAGAGACTCTGTGTCAGCTTCACCTGCCTTGGAGAAAAGCCCAACTCCAGGGGGCAGCTCTCTTGCCATGTTAGCCGAGAAAGGGCAGGCGGCCCCTTCAATCGGGCTCCTGCCTCCTCCTCTCTTCAGGTGGCAGCTGCCTTGGGGGCTCCAGGGACAGCTTTCTGAGCGGCTTCAAGTCAACAAACCCCCCCCCCCCCAACCTGGCCGTTTAGTGCTGTGTCATCAGGGCTTGAATCAGGCCCTGAAACGATGGGGAAATTGGTCTCTGGCTAAGTCGGAAAAGGGCTGTATGGATTCCCAGGGTGTCCTTCCTGCGTCTGCTTTCTTTGTTTTATTACCTCCATTTGGCTGATGTTTTGATGCTGTCAACATCTCTTCCATTAGACTCTCAAGCAGTCTCGTTTGGCTCAGCTGGCCGGATGGGGGGAATTCTGCCCTCAGCATTTCTACCTTCTGACCCCTCCTTGCCCTGGAGACATGGAGTCGGATAACGTAGAAGTCCATAAACCATGATGCCCAGTCAGTTTGGATGTGCTCAGTTTCAGGAGCTTTTTGCCTGTCACCTTAGTGGACTAAAATACAGTTTTAACTCCTGTTTCCTTATCACTGGTGTTATTAGAAATCAGTTCAGATATTTCAGAAGAAATACGCTAAGAGTAATGGGCTGTACTGAAGTGTGTCAACTTCTGCTTAAAGATAAAGTAACAAGTTGTGTAAAGAATTTAGTGGGTTTTCATAATATTCTGTTTGTAGCAATGAAAGAGTTGCAAGAGACCCTTTTCAGTAAACCCTTACCCCCCCCCCCCACCCGCCCCACCTAATCTCATTGGAGCAGCTAGTGACTGAGGGGCTGCCCTTCCTCCTCTTGGGACCTTCCCTCTGGGCTCCAGCTTGTCTGGGTCTGTAGTCTGTGATCTTAGTGGGGTAGTTAAAGGGGACTTCACAGAAGCTGTTTGAAATTCAGCATCACGGAATCTGCAGGTGGAATAAAGGTCTAGGGAGATCCTCAGCCCTCACCCAGGTCCTGGGTGTCCCAAAGGTGCCTTTTTTCTCAAGAGGCAACTGGACTTTCTGGTTTTTCTTTGAAGACCTTTTGTTTCTCATCCAAGGAGCTTTTAGGATGAGAAGTGAAACATTTTCAAAGGGGGGGAAAACCCCCAGAAAAACTTACCTTTTGGAAAAAGCACCTTTGGGAAATGCAGGTTGAGTAATGCTTGATGGGGCACGTACCTGACCAAGAGGTAAGGACATGCCCTCCTCAAGTTGTCAGCCTTAAATGGTTTCTGGGTCTTTTTGTGTCTACAGTTGGAGGAAGCGTCCCTGGGTAATTTCTTTGTGTGAGAGCAAAGATTGTAGCTGTGTGCAGACTCACGCTCAGGAGTCGACTTGCTAGGGAGCCCTGCACACCAGAGGAGGTAGTGGCACTTTCACTTCCAGAGCAAAGGTCAGCCTGCTATTAGTCACATCCTTTAAGGAGTTTGAAAAGTGCCCACGTAGGCAGATAAAAAGTGTCTCTCCTTGGTCTGGTGACCTCTCTGTGCGAAAGGCAAGCAAGGACAGGCAGGAAGGGCTCCTCCACAGAGACACGTGGCTTAAGCCAACCTGAGGGGCCCTGTGGGAATTCTACCAACGGTTTCTTCCAATGATGTCACTTCTTTCTTAACACTTCCGTGAACCAAGAGGCTTAAAGAAAAGTGCTATCCTTGTTTGAAATTGGCCAGAAATCCCCCATATTGAGAATCGGATAAAAGTTTGCCGCAAAGGGCTGCTGCTACAAACATTTTTTTTCCCTTGGAGCAAAATTGCTAGTCATTTTTGCAGTGGATATTAAGTGGTGTAGTAAGTGACTAAGTGGTTTGTGAACACTTTTGATCAATAACTGCTTAGCAGAAACCCAATTGAGCCTTTTAAAATACTTTTAGTCCTTTTGTTGTATTATGTGGTACACGACGGGCTGGTTTTTCAAAGCAGGTTGTGTAAGAGTAAAAGCAACGGCCTGTGGATGAAATGGAGCCAGAATGGGGCGTGATTCTGTTTCCAAAGCTACCAGCAACTCCTTTCTCTGATTACAGTTCCAAAGCTGATGACTTATCAACTGCAATTTTGAAGCAGAAGAACCGGCCCAATCGGTTAATCGTTGATGAAGCAATCAATGAGGACAACAGTGTGGTGTCACTGTCGCAGGTGTGTGTGTGTGTGTGTGTGTGCTACATAAATAGCAGGGAGCTGTTTGGCAGACGAAAGGAAATTTTCCCAGAAGGAAGCAGAGCGGCTTCTTCAGGCTATTCATGGGGGAGGGGCTTATTTATAAGCTGCTCTGCTCTTGTCTCTCCCTTTTCTTTCTCAACAAAAAATTTGGCTCCTCACAATTGATCCACCCAACAGTACCTCCCCCCCCCCCCATCCCTATTTCATAGCGTTACAGTTCTTCCCTGTTGCAGAGGAGGGCACCATGGGTCTCTATGCGATCGTTAAAAAGGACTAAAAAATGTGGAATGATCCTTGAACAACTGCTAGTTTTTTCTCCCCGGCGTGAAAATCTAAGATTCCCACCAGCCTCTCTGGCTTGGCTCCTGGTGTTTCCCGTGGCCAAAATCCCGTCTTACCCAGAATACAGCATGGATGCCTCTTTCAAAAGTCTGGCATGATCAGAATGAATCCCCATCCTATGAAAGTGCTCATCTTTCTTTGGGCGCTTCTATTCAGTTAATACAACTATTCAACTGTATCGGTAGTCCTTGACTTACAACAGTTCATTTAGTGACTCACTTAGCAACATAAATTTTAGGTTCAATAGTGGTTGTAAGTTGAGGACTACCTTTATTAACCTGTTCAGGATTTCTTGGGATCACAGATTCCCTAATTGTCACCCAGAACACTCAAAGAAGGGCGTAACTCCCACTCCTCTAAAGCAGGGGCCTCCAACCTTGGTCGCGTTATGACTTGTGGACTTCAACTCCCAGCAAAGCTGGCTGAGGAATTCTGGGCGTTGAAGTCCACAAGTCTTAACGTGGCCAAGGTTGGAGGCCCCTGCTTTAGAGCAGGTCCTGCCTGTCTGGTGGCCCTAGTGAAGTTGAAGGAATAGCCAGTTTCAAGGAAGTGACGTTCGGTCCCGGGTTCCCCGGCTTTAAGAGGGCTTGTCTTTCCCTGGCAGGCCAAGATGGATGAACTGCAGCTGTTCCGGGGAGACACGGTGCTGCTCAAAGGCAAGAAAAGGCGAGAGGCCGTCTGCATCGTCCTCTCCGACGACTCCTGCTCGGATGAGAAAATCCGCATGAACCGGGTGGTTCGCAACAACCTGCGGGTGCGGCTTGGAGACGTCATCAGGTGAGGGGCCCAGACTCGGATATTGGGAGGGTTTAAAGCAGGGGACTCGGAGTCAAGACCCAAGGGCTGGATCTGGCCCACGGGGCTGCCCTGGGGACAGCAAAGGGCTGCGGTGCCTCTGCCAGCGAAAGCGGAGCCTTCGGGGGGGTGTTGCACGTGGCTCCCCTGGGCTCCGTTTTTGCTGGCAGTGGGCTAGCAAAACAAACTAAAAACAGAATAAAAAAGGAGAAATCTTTCCCCCTCTGCATTTGAGGAAAGGGAAAGAGGAAAAACAAAGAAAAAGATGGGAAGAGAGAGAGCAAGGAAGGAAAAATAAGGAAAGGGGGGAAGGAAGAAGAAAGGGAAGGAAGGAGGTTATAATGGGAGAGAGTGAGGGTCTGAGGGAAGTCCTGCCTTAGCACTTGGCCACCACAGGCGCCCCCAACACGAGGGATGTGATGAGGTGGCCACGCCTACCCCAGCCACCCCCAAGATTGTCAAAGGCAACCCTGATGCAGCCCTCAATGAAATGGAGTTTGACACCCCTGGCTTAAAAGGGTTTCTGAAGCCGACGGACACAAAGGCGTCTGCTGGGGCTTTAATCTCCATCAGTAGCAGCCGGACTTTGCAAAATGTGCCCCTTGCTTGTAAATCCGCCTGTTCTTCATGGCTCTGCTCTGATGGGGTGTTCAGAGAACGCCCTGCTTTTAGGAAAAGATCACAAAGATGCACCGTGAAGTCGCCAGGAATCGATAAGATTATATTTGTACCCTGCAAAGTTATTGAACTGATGAGTAGTTGAAAGCTAATATTTGGCTCACTCGCGTTCTTTCCAATGGCAGAATTTCCCTCCCAGACCCGGCCCCCGTCTCTCACGTATAGCCTCCACATCTGCTGTGGAAGAACTTAGCGCAGGGCTTCTCAGCCTTGGCCACTGTGGACTCCCACATCATAGCTGCCTGGGGAATTCTGGGAGTTGAAGTCCACACCGTTTAAAGTGGCCAAGAAGCCCTGGCTTAGTGGATTATGACCTGCACGGAGAGAGAGGTTGGGTCCCTAGGATGACACACTCGCCTCTGCTCCAAGAGCTGCCGGTTTGTTCCAGGATGCAATTCAAGATGCTGGTTTTAACCTTGAAGGCCCCTCCTGCCCCCAGCGCAAATACACAGAGCAGTCTATCCGAGTCTCTCCCCAATCACGGCCCCCCCATCCCGTCAGGCTGAGTAGAAGAGAACTGCTGCTGCTGCTGCTGCTAAGGAGTTCTGCCTGGGGGGGGGGGCCAGCCTTCCCTGCTGTGGGCCCCCCCCCTCTCGGGCACATCGTCCCCCTCCCCGGGGTGAGGTTGGGCCCCTCTTAGCCTTTGGGGTGGCTTTTCTGGCTGCCCTGGGGAGCCTGCACAGGGGGTTACCCTCGGCTGAGGTGGACGTTCTCCTCCTACAGCCTCGCTTTGACAGGCAGTCCTCGACTTACAACCACAATTGAGCCCCCAATTTTTGTTGCTGAGTGAAACGGTTCAGTGAATTTTGCCCCATTTTTCGATTTTTTTCATTCCACAGTTTAAGTGAATCACTGCAGTTGTTAAGTTATTGACATGGTCATTAAGTGGAATCTGGCCTCCCCATTGACTGGGTGTGTGGGAAGGTCGCAAAAGGGAACCACCTGACCAGGGATGCAGCAGCCGTCATAAATAGGAGTCATGTGACCACGGGGGATGCTGCAATGGTCGTAAGTGTGAAAACTGGTCATGAGTCCCTTTTTTCTGTGCCATTGTAACTTTGAACGGTCACTAAATGAACTGTTGTAGGTCGAGGACTACCTGAATTTTTAAAGATTTTTTTAAAAACATACCTGTGACATTGTTTTAAGTGCTAGTTGTAGGCTGCCTGGAGTCCCATCCAGGGAGGCGGGTCAGCCACATATTTATGTATTGAAGAAGTGAAAGGAGGCTGCTGCTTCAAGGGAGGAAGGAAGGAAGGAAAGGAAAGGAAAGGAAAGGAAAGGAAAGGAAAGAAGGAAAGGAAAGGATGAGAGAGATGGCTCCCCTCCTGGGAGGCTCAGCAGAGGCGGGCCACCGAGCGCTGGGAGGGGGAGGGTTTTTCATTGAGGCTGGTAGGAAATATCCCACAGCCGGGAATAAACGGGGGCCCTTCTCCCTTTCCAGCATCCAGCCTTGTCCGGATGTGAAGTACGGCAAGCGCATCCATGTGCTGCCCATCGATGACACCGTGGAAGGGATCACCGGGAACCTCTTTGAGGTCTACCTCAAGCCATACTTCCTGGAGGCCTACAGGCCCATCAGAAAAGGTAACTGCCTGAGCCGCCGGCTGCGGGGGAAGGGACCCTCGGGCCCAGCCGTGGGTCTTCGTTCGTTCGGGACGTCGCTTCTACCCTAAAGGGAGGAGGCCCTGGCAGGCTCCTGCTGCCTGTCCGGCGGGGGGGGGGGGGGGGGCGGGGGGGCTGGGTGAGCCTTTGACCCTCCGGGGGTGGTTGAGCCCCCCAAGTCCAGCATCCCTCACCCCTGGCCGCCTCCCGTTGCCTTTTTTTTTTCAGCCGTGGCTTTCCTGTCCCTGCTCTGCAATATCCAGAGTGGAAGCGTTAACCACACCTCCCTTGGGTCATCTTAAAATCGGGGATTATGAGATTTGTGGTCCAAAGGGTGTATGCTATTGAAAGCTAGATCAGGTCATGAAAGGGTTTTATTTGCAAGGGTTCCTCTCTGGCCGGGTTTGGATCTGTCTCTCACCATTGTGTTTTGGGAGTGTCGGTAAGGTTTCTTCCCCCTGTTGCTGGTGAGTTTCTTTAAGGTTACGGTGCCTGAGTACCACCTCTGTGATTCCTTCTACTACCAGTAGTAGTCACTGGTCTCTTTCCAACAGTCGAGGAGAGCTAAGAGATGCATGCCTATTTTCTGTTACACCTCCGAGTCACAGCATCTCAAGTATAGAAGAAGACCCCTCTACTCAGCATCCTAACCCCGTAACCTGCCAACCTAGCAGTTCAAAAGCCTGCAAATGCAAGTAGGTAATAAATAGGGGCCGCTCGGGTGGGAAGGCAACAGCGTTCTGTGTGCCTTGCCCTGCAGCCATGCTGGCCACGTGACCACGGAAGCCTCTTCGGATAATACTGGCTCCCTTGGCTAGAAAAGAGAGGCGATTTACCATTCCCTTAAGAGTTGGACACGCCTGGAGATGGGAAACCTTTCCCTCTAACACAGCGACAAGCCTGCAGTTCTGAGCGGGGAGCTCCTGGCAGCAGGGCCTGGGGAGGCGAGCCGCCTTCTGGGTCTCGCAGGTTTTAGTGCTGGAGGAGCCAGTGGCCTAGCAGAGCCCGCTCCTCAGCTGGCAGGCCACGCGTGTCTGTCTGCCTTGCTTGAGAGCTGCCGGGAGCTGGTCATGCTGCCCCAGAGGGACGTTCTCTCCATATTATTTTGAAAAGCTCAACCATTTGAGGGATTGCAAAATGAGGGGACTTTAGGCGCATTATCCCCAATTTGATAAAATCCATTGTTTAAAAAAAGAAAGCAGTTGAATGGATTGTGCTTATGAGCACGGAGTTCTGTTTACTTTTATCCCCGAAGGAAGCTCCAGACTAAACGCAGGCCAGCAAGATCTTCCTGCCTTCCCATTTGCGGTCTTGGTTAATGGCTCTTCTTCCATACCGGAGTTTTCTTGCTCAATGATTGTATTTGAAAGGCTTTGATTACTCACAAGGCACTATGGAAGTGCCAGTAAACGCCAAGGTACTGGCTTCTTCAGTGGTGCCAGTCTAATGTGCCCCTTGGATTGGGATATCTGAGCTTTCTCAGGGAGAAGGACGACTGTGACAGCCTCTGAGAACACTTCTTTTTAAAACGTTCTTATTGATTTTTCCATTAGCTACAAATTAAGATAAAAAATACAAAATTTGTGAATACAATTTAAACATTTCATGCAAGATTATATGTAAAAAGATTAAATAAAGCAGGCTAATGATTAAAATAAATGTGAAAAATGAACTGGAAAGAAAAGGGAAACAAAAATAGAATTAGTTTACTTTCCCATGATACAGGAATCACAGTTACTGTATACCTTTATGTGACATTACGACATCTCCAATTATTACATCTCCAAATTTAATCTAGATCCGATGGGTTCTTGCTGTCTGATATGCTCCCTCTGTTGATAAAGGTCCAGTTCATAGAGAGGAATTGGATCTTTCCCGTTCCCTCAGACTCCAGGTCTGAGGAAATAATTTCATAATATGTTAACATGCTTCCTTCAAGAACCTCCTAAAAATATCAGGGGTTTTCAATTCAGTTGTATAGAATGTGAAGGGTTTGTGTTTCATTTTTATAGTTATAATGTACATTGAAGATGGCATTTAATTTTGTTGTACGAGGTGCAATGACAATAAAGTATAGTAAACTAAAAAAAAGGTGCCTATGAATCCAAACAAACCATAGATCAGCCTTCCACTTTCTTGCCTATCTAACAGGGAAGCATTGTTTCAACTTGCATTGGGCAATCCAGTAAACCTGAAAAACAAATATAGCTGATGCTGCCTAAATCTTTTCTAATATATGATACTCTTCATTCTTAGCCTTGCTTATTTTCCACACTTATGAAATCGTACCATTATTAAAGCTGGTTTGTTTTGCTTCTATAAAAACCTTTCCCAGTGCATTCTGAGCTGTCAAAATTTCAGAGGCTGCTATGGTAACCAGACTAAACAATATAGTAGATGATATTATTATATGTTTCAGGTAAACTGTATTGCCAGATCTTGCAAAAGTCTAAACATATCAGTACTAATTAATGGATTGGTGACAAGTTTACTTGTTTCAGGGGCGGCTGTAGTGTGTGGGCTCTCATGAATGTGCTAATGCTTTCAGGGGACATTTTCCTGGTGCGTGGAGGCATGCGCGCAGTGGAATTCAAGGTGGTGGAGACGGACCCCAGCCCCTACTGCATAGTCGCTCCAGATACGGTGATTCACTGTGAGGGAGAACCTATCAAGCGAGAGGTGAGTTCAGCAGAGAGACCCGGCAGGACTGCCAGAGGGGACCGATAGCCCCCTTTGGTATCGAGAGAGGGGGGAGCTGCTGTGGAGGGATCTTTGTAGATATTCCCCCCTGTTGAGGTAATTCCCCGTTAGGAGAATGAGCGCATACAGGGAGACGTATGTGAGAGTAGTGTTTGAATAACACACACATAGCACACAGATACACTGTACAGTAAATGTAGGTTTTTACTTCCAGAAACGTTAAGCAAAGTCCAAACAAGCAGTCGAAAGTCATTCACAGGTAAACCAGTCAGTTTTTTCAATCCAGGGATAATTCAGTAATAAAGTCCAGTGTCAAAAACAGTTCAGTATCAGGCTTACGTTAAATCCAGAAAATATCAGTCAGTTAGGAAAAATGGAGGAACAGCAATACTTTCCAACAGAAGGAAACAGAGATACACTCTCTTCTGAGACTCAGACTAAGACAACCTAGGTTTCTGGCTCCATCTTATGGCCATTTGAGAAACCACACCTAATTACAGTTTTGCATTTTCTTAAAGATAGAGTTTTAAAATGTCTATCCTGGTTTATATATTTCTAACCGAAATAGCTGTTAGGGGACTCATATTCCTAACACCCCCCCCCCCAGCCTTTCTGGAGGGGGCTTTGGTCAATTGTTCCTATGAAGAATGAGGGAACCAACCTGGAACTAAGGAGGAATTTCCTGACAGTGAGACCCATTAACCAGTGGAATGACTGGCCTCCACCCCAGGAGGCTTTGAACCATTTGTCTGAAAGGGTAGAGGGTTTCCTGCTTGAGCAGGGGGTTGGACTAGAAGACCTCCAAGGTCCCTTCCATCTCTGGCATTCTCTTAATACCAATGCATATCGAGAAGGCTACTTTGGTGGGTACTGTCCAAACAACAGCTCACCTGGAAGTAAGTTGGGAGTCAGAAGTATAGTTGCAAATAAACCTGCACGAACTTTGGTACTAAGCCTCATAAAGATGATTTAGATTTGGCTTCGTGCAGATCCGGCCATTGTGAGTTTGTAAACCATGCTTTTTGAATATAAGAGTGTAAGAGCCACACTGCTAGGTCAAGCAAGGATAATTTAGCATTTGGTGTTTTTTGTTTTTGTTTTTTTTCCGTGTTGGAACATTGGAGGCCTCAGAGGTGCCCACAAGCAGGACCCCCGGACACATCCCCCCCCCCCTTCTGTGGTTGCTCCCCTGTGGCTCTGGGGTTTGGAGAAAGGTCCCCAATCTGGAGATGATGCCGGAAGCCCTGAATGGAGCCCTCAGTTTATGATGAGCCCTGGTGGCTAGAATGCAGTATTGCAGGTTAACTCTGCCACAGCCTGGAGTTTGATCCTGTGGGGGCTCAAGGTTGACTCTGCCTTCCAGCCTTCCCAGGTTGATCAAATGAGGAGACCCAAATTGTTGGGGGCAGGATGCTGACTCTGCAAAACCACTCTGAGAGGGCTGTAAAGCAGGGTGAAGCGGTGTATAAGTCTACGTGCTGTGCTAGTGCTATGATCCCCCTTTAAAGCCACTGCCCCAAACTACAAGATGGTTACACCAGATTTCACAGGTTAATAATGGTGCACCGTCTGAAGGAGTGAACCCTTTTGGCCTTTCAGTCAGCTCCATTGGCTGACCCATCCCCATGTGGCTGTCCCTGTTCATTTCCTCCATACCATCCATAATGTTCTATCCAGTATCGCCATCATGTCTTGCCGGTCTCCTTTTTCCAAGCAATGACTGGCAAACAGCCAATGGTAGCATCCAGCTAACCTTGGGAGAGTTAACGCTGGGTGCTGCTTAGCAGTCTCTCTCTCTCTCTCTCTCTCTCTCTTGCCCCCCTTCCCTTGGAACCAGGATTTGCTCTCTGGCTGCCCAGAAGCTGGAAGTAACACGGAGCTTCCGAGGCTAATAGCCATCCGTAGACGTGTCTTCCATGAAAGCAACCAACCCCTTTTTAAAGCTGTTAAACTGACCAGTCCCACCTCACGTTCTTTATTCCTGGGGGAAGACTCCGTCACACGGTGTGGGAAGCATTCAGTACATGGCAGCGCCTGGGATCCTATTGCATTTTCCGTTGGACTCTTGAGCCACTTTAGAGAGGTCTTTCCGATTCCCTTCACAATCATGCTCAGTTTTGACCCCCTGAAAAGGTCAGTAAATGGCCGTTTCTGAACCTTCTGCGTTTTTAAGCAACCAGCCCACCCAACATAGTTACGCTGATCCCAAGATTGTTAAGCTTTCCCAACAATGTTTGATGGGGAACTTTGCCAGACCTGTTGTAGGAAAATGTGCCCTTAAATTAGGAACCAGACAATTGGCAATAACACAACAAAGGATTTTTTATTGGATAAACAACCACAAGTGGTCTTCGACTTATGACAGCAGTTTTGTAGATGGATTTCTGTCGTAAGTCATGGTGCTTGTAAGCTGATTTTATGACATTTTGATGACAGTCATTAAGCCAATCGTATAACTCGTTAAGCAAATCCAGCTTCCCCAATGGGCACTTTTTGCCCTAAAAGATCACGTGACCGCAGGAGGCTGCAACCAGTGGCGAGTCGGTTGCCCAAGCCCTTGAATTGTGATTCCATGACTGCAGGGCTCGTGCAACCGTCGTGAGTGTGAATGCAGGTCGTGAGTTGGTTTCTCCAAGGCTGGCTTAACTTTGACCCATTAAACAAATGGTCATAAGTCGAGAACTAACTGCACAGGGACCAGTGGATTCCTCATCCGAGAAACACAGGAAATGCTCAAGACTCTCAGGGTTACAAAATCAGATTCATTCAAATCAGTGAAAATTAGAACAGTCTTAAACAACAGAAATGTGGGATGTGATAACCTGACCCTGGGCTACCTTGACATGCCATTGTTCTAGATCAGGGGTGTCAAACTTACGGCAGCATCACGTGACATATCACGACTTTTCCCTCCTTTTGCTAAACGGGGCGTGGGTGTGGCCAGCGCATGAGACCTCCAGCCCATAGGCTGTGAGTTAGACACCCCTGTTCCAGAGAGATCCCAGGCTCACCCTTCCTACCGATCACTAGCCTCTCCTGGGGCAAGGGTGGGCAGCGATGGTCCCTTTATGACCTGTGGGCTTTGGGAAGGCCCCTGCCTAAGGGATTCTGGGAGTTGAAGTCCAGAGGTCGCCCAGGGGCCATCGTGTCCCTGCCCCTGTCTGAGACGGGGCCGCCTGGGTCTAGAGCAGGCGCGACTAAATTCTTCCTGGCTGATGAGATGCAAAGGAGAAGATCACATTGCTTTTCCTGACATTCCTTCCCCTCTGTCTTTATTGCCGCCAGGATGAAGAGGAATCCCTGAACGAAGTGGGTTATGACGACATTGGAGGCTGCCGAAAGCAGCTGGCTCAGATCAAGGAAATGGTGGAGCTCCCTCTTCGACACCCTGCTCTCTTCAAGGCCATTGGGGTGAAGGTGAGGCTCTGCTCTGGCCCCCAAGGCTGAGCTGCCCTGAGGGCAGGCACTTTCCCCTACAGCCAGCCGCTCCTGAGCTTGAAGACATTCAGGGGTGGTGGGTGGGTGGGTGGGGAACTGTGTGAGGCCCCCCCTCACCCCATGCAATACCTGTGCTGGAGCTTAAGCTTGAAGTCAGGCGTGTCCAGCCTCAGCCACTTAAAGACCTGTGGACTCCCAGGATTCTGGGGGCCTTTTAAGCCCTTGGTCGTAACGTGTCTCTGTCCCTCCAGCCTCCCCGTGGAATCCTCCTGTACGGGCCGCCTGGCACCGGGAAGACCTTGATTGCCAGAGCTGTGGCTAACGAGACCGGAGCATTTTTCTTTCTGATCAATGGTGAGTAGCCCTGCCTGGGCCTTCTCGGCCTGCAGGCCTTGGGTGGCTGAAAGAAAAGGCCGGGTTGCCACCCCTGGCAGGTATGGGGCCTTCAACACGCAGTCCCTTAATTCCTCTGGTTGCCATTACACAGGTTGGTTCATTAATAACCCAGAGCAAAATTAAAGCTAATCGTGTGATAAAATCTAAGCAAGGCAGTGAGAGATCGAAAGCAAGAGTTTAGAAACAAAGCAGGAAACTCGGTGTAGAACACAATTGCCTTTTTAAGTGAGGAGATCTGAATGGTCCTCTCTGTCCTCCTGGGCATTTCATCCCGGGGTTTGAAAGAGACTCGAGACTCTCTCGTGCAGTTGCCTTTGAAGCCGGTGTCCTTGGAAACCTCCGGGTGCCTCAAGGAAGCTGAGGGAAGGGCCCAGGCTTCACAGTGCAGCCAGAAAGAAGCAGGCTCTTCCCCCAGCCCCACTATTACTTTTTTTTTTTTTTAAGAGGGGGGGGGATGTTAAGGTACATCTCTATCCGGGCTGAACTGGAGCCGTGCTAAACAGCTGGAAAGGCTTTGTGGCTGGAAGCACGGCCAGTTTGCTGGGACAGGTAGCCCCTGACTCACAGCAGTTCATTTAGTCAACATTCAGTGTTTTAGAACACCACTGGAAAAAAGTGGCTTAGGGCCGTTTTTGCACACTTACAAATGCTGCAGCCTCCCCCCGTCCCCCCCGGTCACGTGATCAAAATTCAGGCACTTGGCAACTGGTTCATACTTATGGCAGTCTCAGGGTCACATGATCACCTTTTGCAACCTTCTGATAGACAGAGTTGGGGAGAGCCATTGCAACAACCGTGTTACTAACCTAACAAGTGCGGTGATTCACTAAACTGTGATGAGGAATGGCGTAAATTGGGGAAAACTCACTTAACAACTGTCTGGCCTAGCCACAGACATTTTGGGCTCTGTTGTCATAAGTTGAGGACTATCTCTGTTGTTAAGCTCTCCAAAGCAGGGGTGAGGATTAAAACCAAAACAAAGCTAGATTTCATTTGGTGTCCACTTCTGTTGAATTTGCATGAAATATGCACAGGACAGGATGGCCGTCCAGACTTCCACAGGGTCCGATTTTGGCCACGGGCGTTGGAGGCCTCGGGAGCCACACGTGCCCTGGGACCTCAGGCTGCTGTGCCCCTCCGATGCGCGTTCTTTGGGGCTGAGACGAGTGCCCCCCCCCCCTCTCCCTGCGTCTCCACAGGTCCCGAGATCATGAGCAAGTTAGCAGGGGAGTCGGAGAGCAACCTGCGCAAGGCCTTCGAGGAAGCCGAGAAGAATGCGCCCGCCATCATCTTCATTGACGAACTGGACGCCATTGCTCCAAAGAGGGAGAAGGTGGGAAGGGGGGGGGAGGGGCAGCACTGCTGGGGAGGGGAAGAGCCCTGAGCCCCCCCCCCAGGGGAAGGCAGGGAAGGGACTCGGCCGTAAGGCCAGCTGAAGAACCGCTTCCCAAACACCTGGTTTCTCTTCCCTGAGTTTGCTTGATGTCAGTCTGGAAAACCTCTCCAACCCCCCCCAACCCCCATCCCCCGCTCATCTTCTGCCTATTGTAATGGGATCCCTCAAACGTCCGGCTGTCCCTGAGGGTCACGTGATCACCACCTGGGCCCCTGACAGCCAGCCCACGTGGCGGTTGCAGCTGTCGCAGGATCAACATTGCCTCTGAGCACTTTGCAGTGTCGGCCCCCTGCCCCCCCCCCCCCCCAAAAAAAAAACAACAACCTGGGTCCTCGTTTTAGCTCGGAAGGATGGAAGGCTGAGTCAACCTCGAGCCCCATCAGGATCAACCTCCTGGCAGTGGGCAGAGCTGGCCTGCAATGCTGCGTCCTAAGCCTTGTGGCCCCACAGCTCAGTGGCCAGTAACCTGGTCTGCTGGCTCCTGCAAGCGAAGGCATTGGGGAGGCTGGCCAAGAAGGTCGCAAGTTCTCTGGTAGGTGGCTTGCCCTTTTCCCTGCCCCTGGGCAGCTGCCCCCAGCCCTGCCCTGCCCGCGTCCATCATGCCTCGCTGGCCTCCCACCCACCTTCTTCTGCCTAGCAACAGCCACTTCCCTGCCTTCTTTAGCGACAGCCATGGGGAACTGCCCTTGCCAAGCGATAACGGTCACCTGCCCTTGTGCTCGACAACTTGATCGTTTAGCAAGGGATGTTCAATTGCTGTCATTAAGCGAGGAATTAACCTGTACCTGTATTTGCCAGTGAGCCACATCTATGGCTTGATTTACCCCAGCGCACCCAGGGTGTTTGTTTATCCACTTACTTCAGTGTTTCTCTTCTGATCTGTCTCCATTGACAGCATAACAAGCAAGCCAGGTATAAGAAAAGGACAACACTGAAAGAATGAGAAAGGCTAGGGAGTTAGTGCCCTGGAACAGGTGGGCTTGGAGCGGTGGGCGGGGGCTCCTTGTGCCTCGGAGGGCGGGGCCTTTGAAAGTGGGATTTTCCTGGCATTGTTGCCTTGTAACTCAGCATTCAGGATGTTTAGATGTTTGTTCTTCGGATTAACCCATTTCCAGTCTAAACTGCCAAAGGAGGAAGTCTCTAATTTTATGAACTAAAATGGCCTTTGATCCCGTCTCTCTCTCGCTGTAACCTTAGGGGCTGGTTTCTTGGTTTTTATTTATTATTTCTCCATATTACTTTAGCAATAGCAATAGCCCTTAGACTTACATACAGCTTTGCAGTGCTTTCCGGCCCTCTCTAAGCGGCTTACAGAGTCAGCCTCTTTGCCCCCAACAATCTGGGTCCTCGTTTTACCCACCTCGGAAGGAGGGAAGGGTGGGTCAACCCTGAGCCTGGTGAGACTCGAATTGCCAAATCACAGCCAGCCAGCAGGCAGCAGAAGGAGCCTGTAGTACCGCATTCTAACCACTGCGTCAGCACGGCTCTTTATTTTAAAATAAAGTACTTTAATCTGCTTTTGAGCCTTCCTTCCTTCCTTCCTTCCTTCCTTCCGGTGTTCTCTTTGGGGTCCCTTCCTTGAGGCCGAGCTCTTCCCTTCCCAGCCTGACTCTCTCTCGACTGGTTTCTCCGCAGACCCACGGGGAAGTGGAACGGCGCATCGTGTCCCAGTTGCTGACCCTCATGGATGGCCTCAAGCAGCGAGCCCACGTCATTGTCATGGCTGCCACCAACAGACCGAACAGCATCGATCCAGCCCTCCGGCGGTTCGGTAACTGAGCTTGCTCCATTCGGGAGGGGGGAGGGCTGCCCGTTGGGAGATGTGGGCTAGCGACACGCGTGCGGCTGATGGCCTGCAAAGTGTCCTCTTGCCACAGCCAGGAGCACAGCTGGGCCAGCGGTCAAAACCCCCGTGGGACTTTCAGACTTCCGCTGCTTACAGACCAGTGGACTCTGCTGTGGGGCCTTCCCTTAAAATGAAATAATAGTGCTCGGCTGATGCAAATTGCGGTTCTGCTTGTCCCGTGTACTTTTTCACGTTTATAAGAGCCAATCTGCTTGCACGAACAAGCACACTTCAATCACGATGCAGTGTAGAATCTTTTGCTAAATGCGGATGGGCCAGAAGAGAAATTGTGGTTTTGAACACTTACTTGTTCCTTGTTTCAACTGCAAACTGGGGATTGGGGGGGGGGGGGCCGGACCCCCCCCCCCCCGAATATGCTTCTTGGTTGTTGCCAGGGGTGCTTGAGAAAACGCCTGGGCGCGCTCCGCCCCCCCCCCCCCCCCCCCCACCGCTGCATTTGGGATCAAGCCACTGTTCCTACTTTGTGGCTCCTCTGAGCTGGAAGGAGGGTAATTGGAGGGTCTCCCTGACGGACCCCTTTCCGTGGGTTCCATCTTGGGAAAAGATGGCCGTGAAGCTGCCCCCACCCCTAGCCTGAGCCCCGCTGGCTCTTGGGTGCTGCGGAGGGTTAGGGTCTGCCTCGGGAGACGGAAAGGTGAGGGCTGCTCTTGGTCCCCTGCAGGCCGCTTTGACCGGGAGGTGGACATCGGCATCCCTGACGCTACTGGCCGCCTGGAGATCTTGCAGATCCACACCAAGAACATGAAGTTGGCTGATGATGTTGATCTGGAGCAGGTGGGTTTGGTTGGTTTTCTAAAATTATAATTATGAGATGTAATGTAAACTTAGTAGCAGGTTATGATGACAGAGGCAAAACAAATGTGAGGTGTGTATTTTCCTTCCTTCCTCCCTCCTTCCTTCCTTCCCTCCTCCCCCCCCTCCTCCCTTCCCTCCTTCCCTCCTTCCCTCCTTCCCTCCTTCCTTCCTTCCAGCTCACGGCAGCAATCACGCCTGCCACTTCTCTAATACTCCTTCCTCCTTATATTTTCCCCACCACAACTGGCCAAGTCACCCAGGCAGCTTCAGGCGCTGCTCAGGCTCCGCTTCCCTCAGAGCGACGTGAAAGGAGGAGACCGTCACATGCATGGCGGTTGCTACTTAAGCTGAAAGCGACGGTTGCTTATTTTAATCCCCTCCTCTCCCCCCTCCCCCCCCCTTGGGAGCTTTAGATCCTGTGCTGGAACCCTTGCTCTGTGTTGGTGGAGAACTTCCTCGGGGTCGTAAGGACGGAGGCCGCCTTTTCTTTTAGCCTGGGAATAGTTTGGGCTGTGCCTGGTGGCTCTTAAAGGAGGGAGGGGCCGCCTCCACCAGAAGGCTTTCCACGGCCAGCCTGATGAGCCCCCCTTTCTCTCTCCTGCCCCGAGACCCCCAGACCTGCCCCCACTTGGGTGGAAACGCTGGGCTAAGGACGGGGCAGCCATGAGACAGCTGAGCAGGAACTGGCTTAGGCAACCTGAAGGAAGCAGCCAGAAGGGGGAGCACCAGAGCCGTGGAATCGGAGCGCCCTCAGAACTGGGTCACGGCTGACATTTTACACAGGGGGTTTCTCTTATTTCTCAAAGCCCCTTCGCCAAACAGGGCTAAATCTAGGGGGTTGCAAGGTCCAAAACCAGAGACTGGCTCCAGCCACCTGCCTGGGTACCCCGGGCTCAGGGTGGACCGAACGGGCCTGGGCATCACGGTGGTCTCCTCCTCCTGCTGGTGGTGGCAGAGGCCGGATTGCCCTTTCTCAGAGCAGGGGCAGATCCTTACTCGTGCCCCCCTCTCTGCTTCAAGGTGGCCAATGAGACCCACGGCCATGTGGGGGCTGACCTGGCTGCGCTGTGCTCCGAGGCGGCCCTGCAGGCCATCCGGAAGAAGATGGACCTGATCGACCTGGAAGATGAGACCATCGATGCTGAAGTGATGAACTCCCTGGCTGTGACCATGGACGACTTCCGGGTAAGGCGGCCGAGGGCGCGTCTCTCCCCTGCCTCCCTCTGGAGGAATGGCCTCGGTCGAACTGAGCACCCCCTTCTCTCCCCCAGTGGGCCCTGAGCCAGAGCAACCCCTCCGCCCTGCGCGAGACCGTAGTGGAAGTGCCCCAGGTGACCTGGCAAGACATCGGGGGCTTGGAAGACGTCAAGCGGGAACTCCAGGAGCTGGTTCAGGTGAGGCTGTGGGGGCTCGGGGGCTGGCCAGCTGCAGGGGGCATGGCCGGCTTCCCTCTCCTGGCTGTTCTGTTTAAAAACGGAGGGTAAGTCTGTGTGTTGAATGGTTCTGTTTCCGGGGCCTGTGCAATCTTTGTATACATGTAAGGTTCCCCTGTTTGGTGATTTATGTTGACCTTATAAGGCCACCCAACTCCATAACTTGGTGATATACCTGAAAAAGCAGCTTTGAAGAAAAGCAAAAAATAAGAGTCAATTACACACACAGGACCCACTCACTCACTCTGACCCAAAGCCTGGGGTGGGGGGGGGGAGCCAGGGTTCAGAGCCCTTTGGAACACAGCCAGGCCCTGTGAGGGGAGCTTTTAGGTGGGCCAAAAAGTAGCCATCAAGCTTGTTCTAACAGCCTTTGTCAAAGTCAGATTGGGGGCAGCAGTAACCAAATTCCAGAAGAGTAAATTAATGGGTTTAGCTGCAGAATTGCTTTGATGCTTGCACCTCCATCCTAATAGGGTTTACCTGCTGCTTCACCTTTAAATTACCTGCCTCCAGTGTGTTTGTTGTAAACATGAGTTGGAGACAATTGCAAGCGAATTTGGCTAATAATGGCTGCAATCTTAGCAGAAGTGAGATCTACCCACTGGTGGGAGGGAGGAGAAAGGTTGCTTACCCTCCAGAGTCACTTCCCACCAGAGGAATGGCCGTGTACATTTGACGGTGAAATAAATAATAGTTTGGAGCTAGTTGCAGCCTTCTTCCTGCCCCTGGTCTGACCTGGTTTGTCCCCTCTGAAGTGGCAGCCGATGGGGGCAGGTTTTGTGCCCAGGTGGTTCCCTGGTTTTCTCCACGGTCTCCTCTTGGAGCTGACGTTGAGTGCCTTCCTTTTCCAGTACCCCGTGGAGCATCCTGATAAATTCCTCAAGTTTGGCATGACCCCGTCTAAAGGGGTCCTCTTTTACGGGCCCCCTGGCTGCGGAAAGACCCTGCTAGCCAAAGCCATTGCCAATGAATGCCAGGCCAATTTCATCTCCATCAAGGGCCCAGAGCTGCTCACCATGTGGTTTGGAGAGTCGGAGGCCAACGTGCGCGAGATCTTCGACAAGGTGAGTCTCCGCTTTCTCTCCCCCCCTCCCTCCGCTCACCTGGAGGTCTAGGTGGGAGGCTTGGCGTTATGACCCAGGTCGCCCAGGCAGAGGGGAGCTTCGAAAGAGTCCTTTATTGCCCTGTTAGCTGCCCCAACAGCCAGCAAGACTCTGCCCCACACTTCCCTGAAGGCAGCCACCCTCTGTCCCACAAGCACAAGCCAGTAAACAGCCAAGCCCAACTTGCAAAGGCAGGGAGGAAGTCCCAAGAGAAGGCGCAGGGCCCACGGGGCACAGGCAGAAACAAGAGTCCAGGGCTGCGTCTTTGGTTGGGGGTGGGGGGGGCTGTTCCTGCCAAAGGCAGACTTCCCCGGCTTCTCCTTAAGTCAGCCCAGGAATTAGGCCTCTGCCCCCCCCCCAAATCCTTGGGAGTTCTGGGAAACGTTGACCTCATTGTAAAGAGCTCTGCCTTCGTTTTGGGACACTGAAGAGCCCAGGGTCCCGTCTGTGTGCCTGCAGGACTGCCTCTCTGGGCATCACAGCCGACCTGATGAATGTGGGGCTGTGTCGGAGGGAATCTGGAAATCCTGAAACTGGGCAGCAGTTTCCAAGCCCTGCAGGCTTCAGGGAGACGAGTGCAAGGACTCACACAATAGGCAGAGCCCAGTTCCGGGGCCTTTTGGAGGTTGTGGGCCCTGAACGCTCCCCGTGAGGAGGGATGGCAGTGGCCAGGAGCCCTTGGGGTGCTGAGGCAGCCTCTGGCGCCTGGGCAACTGACGCGGTGTCTGTCCCTCGCCAGGCCCGCCAAGCAGCTCCCTGCGTGCTGTTCTTCGATGAGCTGGATTCCATTGCGAAGGCCCGAGGGGGGAACATTGGCGATGGGGGTGGTGCCGCCGACCGGGTGATCAACCAGATCCTCACGGAGATGGATGGCATGTCGACCAAGAAGAACGTCTTCATCATTGGCGCGACCAACCGGCCAGACATCATTGATCCAGCCATCCTGCGCCCTGGGCGCCTGGACCAGCTCATCTACATCCCTCTGCCGGATGAGAAGTCCCGCGTGGCCATCCTCAAGGCCAACCTGCGGAAGTCGCCCGTTGCCAAGGCAAGTTGGCATCAGAGAGCCTGTGTGTGTGAGAGGGAGGGAGAGAAGGCTGCCACTCCTGTCTGTCTGGCTTAATTTCAGAGCCGGGTTGGTTTCAGTGCCTGTTCAGGGGAACAGGACAATCCTTTGAGAATCCAGAAGGCGGTTTCTGGGTTTTCCTTCCCTGAGCTTAAGCCCAGCGTGGACCCTGGGGGCAGCCGGGTGTTGGGGGCCGCCAGCAAACAGGAGCCCAGGAGCCGCTTTCAAGGCAAACTCTCTGGAGAGGCTGCTGGGCTGCAGCCAGCTGGCCAGAGGGGGCTCAGGGGAAGGAGGAGGCGCCTGAGGCCCTGGCAGCTCCGTGGGAAGAGCTGGAGAGTCGAGCCAGGCCCAGCAGTGCCGGGAGGCTTTCAGCCCCCCGTTGCTCCCCGCTTTAGAGAAGGGGTGGTTCAAGCGTGTTCCGGGTCTCCCACAGGGGCAGCTATTATGGCTTCTGTTTCCCCATCTTCCCCCGAGTTGGGTTGCTTGTTTGCGAGGCGGGTGAGCGAAAGGCAGCTGCCAGCAGGGACTGGAGGGGCAGATGCGACACGGGGCGTTTCCCTTGCTTTTCAGGACGTGGATCTGGAGTTCCTGGCCAAAATGACCAATGGCTTCTCGGGAGCTGACCTCACGGAGGTTTGCCAGCGGGCGTGCAAGCTGGCCATCCGCGAGTCGATCGAGAGCGAGATCAGGCGGGAGCGGGAGAGGCAGACCAACCCCTCGGCCATGGTGAGCGGCGGGCGGGCGGGCGGGGGAGGGGCGGGCGGGGGAGGCCTGACCCCCAGCCGTGCTGACAGACCCACCCTTGCTGTGCTTTAGGAGGTGGAAGAGGACGACCCGGTCCCTGAGATCCGCCGGGATCACTTCGAGGAAGCCATGCGTTTTGCCCGCCGGTCAGTCAGCGACAATGACATCCGCAAATACGAGATGTTTGCACAGACTCTGCAGCAGAGCCGTGGCTTTGGCAGCTTCAGGTACGCTGCTTGTGTGCCCTTTGCCCTCCCGGCCCTTCCTTTCAGCGCACCCTCACTTGGCAGGTAATAACGGGGAGGGTTGCTCTTGGTGGGTGGCGGAGCTGGGAGCCTCTGCTTCCTTCCTTACCTGGGCGTCCATGACTCCCCGAGCCAGTCAGGTGAGGCTCTCTTCTGGCAAGGGGCCTGCAGAGCCACCAGGACCTGCCCATCGGCTTCTCTGGCGCATCCTCCAGGCAGTGTCCCTGCGGCTCCCCCTCCCGGTTTTCACTACAAGGGTTGAGTGACATTAGCTGGTTTCCTGACCCCACCCCCCGGGGGGGGGGGGGGGGGGGGCTGAGCCTGGCTCGTCCCAGCCCCACCTGGGTCTCTTGGCCTCTTATCATCTCCCAGTTCAGTGCCCCCAGCTTCTTTCCATACCTCTGATTGCACCTGGAGATGCCCCTGGCTCCTTGTTGTCTGTGCAGAAGGAGGGGGTTGTAGGAAATTGTTCTTCTGGCCCCTCACCTGCTCCCCCCCCCTCCCGCTGTGCTTCTCCTGGCAGATTCCCATCAGGTAACCAGGGGGGTGCTGGACCCAGCCAGGGCACCGGAGGCAGCGGCGGAGGCAACGTTTACAGTGAAGACAACGATGACGATCTCTATGGTTAAGCTGCGGCCAGAGTGGACCAAACTCCAGAACAGGCCACGTTGTACAGGGCAGTCCTCACGGCCAGTGGACTCCTGGCTTCTTCATTCCTCGGTCAGACTCATGTAGCTGTGTCTCAGGCTCCCTCCGCTGAGCCTGCTGTCCATGTAAGGCGGTGGGTTGCCTGGTTTGGTTGGGAGGTAGGCAAGCAGTGGAGGAGGAGGAGGAGGAGGAGGAGGGGAATTGACTTCTGGGAAACTTTCTGTTCTAGTTTTATGGCAGAATCAGCAGCTTTAGCAACGGGTACAACAATAGCCTGTAAAAAAATTAATAAAACCCCACAAAAATAAAAAAAAAATGTCCCATAACTTCAAGCTGGCCTGAGTGTGCCTTTGTTCCCAGTTAAGCTCATTCCGCGTTTCTCGCCTCCCTGGGGAAGATGGAAAGGGGGGAAGGTGCTCAGAGGCCTCCCAGGTCCTCCTAGTGGCGCCTTCGACAGAGGAAATGGGGGCTTTTGCTTCAAGCCCCCCCTGAGGAAAAGCCTTCCTCTGCTGGGCCAGCCGCCTCTTCCTCCTGCCGGAGCGTCTCAGCCCTCCAGGCCAAGGTTGCCCCAAAGGCGCCTTCCCAAAAGGCAGCTGGACTTTCTTGGGGTTTTTTTTCCCCCTGGCGAACATTTGGCTTCCCAGCCAGAGTTGCAGAAACTTTTGTCTTCTTGTTTCCTTTGAAGACATTCCGCTCCTCAGGCAAGAAGTTTCTTCTCCTTGGATGGGGAGTGAAACGCCTTCGAGGAAAACAACCAGACCCAATCCAGCTGCCCCTTTGGTGTCGCTGCTGCTTAGGGATTCTGTGAAGCTCAGGGGCCTCACCGGGTCTCCTCCTTTCGCTGTGGATGAGGGAGCTTGGACCCGGCAGCCCCATCCATTGGGGCCAGCAGACGGGAACGGAACTCACGTCCGCTAACCTTCATCCCAAGGCTGGCCAGTGGCTGACTTGAAGCGTGATTCACAAGGCCGCTTGTGGAGAGATTAAATGTGTTGTTCTGGGAGAGCTTGAATAGAAGACGCTCCCAGTGGTGTGTTCCCTCCAAAGCACAGAATCACAAAACATTCAGTGCAGCTCGCTAAGTGAGCTTAATCGTCTTCCCACAAAACCCCTTTTAATGCTGGAGTTCTTAGAAGAGGTTGGAGCTGCACGGAGCAGCCCTGGCGCAATTAATGCTGTTGCGGAGGGGCTGCCCCCCCTCATTATCTCCCGATTTACATTCTTCTTTCGGTGTTCAGCCTTTGTAGAGTCAGTGGATGCTTTCCACCCACAGGCCAATTATCCTAATTCCAGTAACTCTGTTAATGGCGCTCCATGTTTTTATTTGTATTTATAATTATGTTTTTTTTTTGAAGAAATCTAAGGTTGACGTGAGCTCTTATATCCCTTTTCCTTTGGAGCCTTGTACCCTACAGAGGAAGGTGGCTGCAGGGCAGAAAGTTTGGCGCTCCAGAAATCCCGAAGAAGGGCTGAAGCTGGCCTGGCTTTTCCCCCTTTTCTAACAAACACAGGCAAAGCATGAAAGACGAGGCTCAGCTCTAGCCCACTGGGAGGGTCGTCTTCTAATCCCCTCACCAAGACGGCTTGCCTGCACCCTGGCTTCTCCCTGGCTTAACCATGGCTTGAACCATAAATTGGTAGGGAGAAGCAGTAAACACCAGTTTGCAGGCCCGTTGTGGGGTTTGGGTTCACTGTTTTATGCCTTTGGTTCATCGCCAACCTTTCTGCCACCACCCCCCACCCCACCCCCAAAAGCAGGGCTCCTGTCAAGTTTGCCTTGGGTGGCATCCATATCGTGGCTTAAGCCAGGAGGCCTGTCTATACCACGATTCAGCCATGGCCTCTTCAGCAAAACCCTGGATGTTTTGAATCAACAGCCTCTCTGGCTATCAGTTGGCTAAACAGTCAATCCAAGTCAGACCCTGAATCCGATTTGACGTTTGTTGCAATCAGCATTGTGTGTAGATTGAAATAAGCTCAGGAATAAGGACCCCAGTTCCCCTCCCTCCCCTCCCCCCCTTGCCTTCCAGTGCTGAGTGGCTGCCTGGGTCTCTGGGAAAGGGGACCTCTTGACCGAAGAAGGGTCATCCCCCCTGAGCCTGTTGCTCTTTCACTTGGAAGGGGGTTTCGAGGAAAACTGGTGTAGAAAGTGCGCTTGAGGTCCAAGGAAGTGCTGGGTGTGGCCCAATGCCATACAGGCTGACTTCACACTGAAACGAAGCCACCCGTGATCTATACTGGCTGAGCTCTTACATCTTTCCAAACCAAGCATTGCCCCTGCCTGAAAGGTACAGGGGTGGTTAAGGAGCTGAAGACAGAAGGGGTTGCTCCCACCACCAGCTCTGCAGCTGTGTGTGTCTTACAGGCATACGAGATTTTGGCAGTTCACACCACCTGCTCGGATGTCATATGGCTCGTTCTGGGCTCGGCCCACTGTAAAATTCATATTTTTGCTGTAAAGGCCATGGATAAACAAACAATAGCTTGACCTGGTGAGAGAGAGAAAAGCCAGCTCTTCCCTCTGGAAAGCTCCCAGAAAACTGAGGATGCGGAGTGGGGGGGTGGTTGGTCCTTCAGAGTGGAAGGTGGTTGAATGACACGATTGGTGCAATTTAGAGGCTGGTGTGAGCATCTTAGCATTTGGGGGGAGCAGCTCCATTTAGTGCACCACCTCGCCTCACGTTGCCAAAGCTGCATTGGTTTTCTTTTGTTGTGCGGTGTTTTTGGTCACAGGATCTATGTCTATGCTTCCAGGAATAGGAGCCCTTTTTTGAAATAAGGAAGCTTGCCAAAATTCAAATGAAGTGCAGAGATTTTGCCGAAGTGCTGTCAGTGTTTCCCAGGTTTTTAATTCAGTTCACTTGGAAAATATTTATAGTGCAGAGGGACATCAAAGTGACTCTCTGCAAACATTCAAGTGCTCAGTAGCCGTTCATCTTTCGAGTATCTGAACCACCTGCAATGTTATGTGCTCAGCATTTCTTTATTATTTGATGGCCTGCTTTTAAAGATCACGCTCCTTCCCTTTGAACCTAAAATTGACACCAGGTTTGAAAATGGTGGTATCAATTTAGCCAATCTATTGGGAGAAGCCCACACTAAGACATACAAATTTGACAGTTCAAGAAATTAGGAGGTTCAGGTCTCTCTCCTATTTTCTGAACAATCCTTGGATTCTGGCATTGCCAGTTTCATTCTTGCATCCTTATTGCATTCCCCCTTATTGCATTCCCCCTTTGTATTAACATAACATGGCTATTTTGTGGCCAGGTGTCTTAGGGACGCCCAGGAACACTTAGGCACACATAGCTCTGCTTTCATGCACATTTAAAAAGAACCAGGAGAGAAAAAGTTCAGTATCTTTAATAAACACAATATAAAATCAGGCATCACGTGCTGCCCTCGGGGTTTGTATCTGGGTCTCTCTCTTCACACCCGATGCTTAGGTGGTTTGTGCTGATGTGCAGAATGAGCCCCCGTGAGGTTGACCCGTCCCTTTCCGCATGTCTCCGTCCCTGGTGAGGGTATTAATCACTTCATTTATTGAGATTAGATGGCTGGCGAATTCTAATGGAAGTTTTTTGTCCACTGCTACCTAGCTGAGTGTCAGTGTGGGCCTGGTGCTTGAAAGGACTGGTGAATGAAGTGGGGATGCTGAAAATGTTTGTGTTTGGGCACAGAAGTGCGGTGTAAAGCAGGGGTGTCCAATCTTGGCGACTTTAAGACTTGTGGACTTCAACTCCCAGAATTCCCCAGCCAGCATAAGACTACAAGTCTTAAAGTCGCCAAAGTTGGACACCCCTGGTGTACAAAGTGCAGATAAGTGTAAGTGAAGCTTTTTGGTGCTGTGAAAATGTTCCGTGGGAGAGACGTTCAACTGAAACAGGAATTCTCTCCCAATAAAGCCGAGTGCAAGCCAGAGAGAGAGAGAAAGACAGAACTAAAAAATCATTCCTCACAATGAATCCCAACAAGCCGCCTCTCTTCCGCACACAAAGCACGGCCGGCCCAGAGGACTTGTGGATTGGGTTACAGCCAGTACTGCTTGCTGCAGATGGGAGGCAGGGAACAATGGAGCCGAGCTTTCCTCTTGTAGCTGGGGTCGTAGTAGTCCCACTCAAAGGGGTCGGCTTGCTGGCGATGCACAACGGGTGTGTTGGGGCTCCCTTCGCTGTCGGTTGACAGGATCCGGACAGAAACGCCTGGAGGGAGGGAGAGAGAGGGAGAAAAGCAGCCACGTTATCAAGAGATCCTGCCAGGACTCTCGTTATATATCAACCTAGGTGATTCTACGTTATCGCCTAAATAGGAAACCTTTATGTGGCACACCATGCTAGCGATGTGCGGGGGAGGTGTGCAGAACTACGAGGAGAGAAATACAGAAAGGAGCCCAAGGGAGACCTTGGCGAGAGGAGGAAAGAAGGGGGAAAACATGGCCAGTTGCCCCTCCGAGTCTCCCTTGTTTTAGCTCTCACTTTTCCGCTCAGCTGGCGGGCTGGAAGAAGAATCCAAGGGTGCCCCGGGAGCCTTTTCTGTACTCGGTGTCTCATACCCAGATTACGTATTTGTTGGCAGAGTCGAGTACTACAGAAATGCTATTAAAAAATCCCACCCTCCTTATGTCTCATCGCTCTTCATTAATCACCCCCCCCCCCTAGCGGAAGACGATCTGGTTGAGTGTTGGTAGATCTGTCAGGAGCTTAAGGAGGTTTGGTGTCAGAAGCAATCACGTTCTTCAGCTGTAGCCGAGGAAGGCGTCCGCCTTCGAAATGTCAGAAGAATTACTAGCTCAGAAGAGCAGGTTGTGGTCACTGCAGCTCAAAGGCCTTGGAACGGTCTTGGGGAAGAAAGTCAAGGAGGTCCTTCCAACCATGGCAGCTGGGCTGATAGCCCCATCAAACCATCAGCCAACCTTCTAAGCTAGTATTTCTCAACCTCGTCGACTTTAAGATGGGTGAACAACTCAACTCCTCCCAGAATTCTGGGAGTTGTTGTTCACCCATCTTAAAGTCAACTAGGTTGAGACATTGACTTGGTCTTCACAATGTGCTCAACTTAGTTCAAAAAGGGTTGTGTATGTAAACCATGGGTCTATTTTGCCTTTAAAGGAACCAAATAGACCAGCCATGGCCAACCCTGGCCACTCAGGACCTCTTTCTGGACACCGATTGCACGATCAACCTCTGCCATGCCTCTTGCTGCCTCTCTGGCCTGGCAGAGGCCAATGAAGTCGAGGTGCCTTGTGGGTCTTTTTCCCAGATGATAAGTTGGCACAAGGGCTTTGTCAGAAGGAGGACTTGATAGGCTGGGGGTAAATCAACATTCCTGTTGA